TCTGGACCAAATTCTTAATTTTTCCAAACAAAGTTTCTATTTTTGAGATCTCTCTTGTCACTCTCCTTCCAAGAGATGCAAAAGGTGGAAAGTGGAACTAGAACAACAAATTCCTTTGTGAGCTAACATAACTCCTGTAGAAAAGAATACCGGGCTTCGATTCACAAGCATAATGCTTGTAACATGTCCAAGTGGTATGGGTTGAATAGATATTTAAATGCCAAGAAAAGGCATTTGTGTATGCGGTTTACTTAGGGATTTGATTCTAGGAATTCTAGGCACTTTTTTTTTTAAGAAATAAAAAGGGTAAAAAGTATAGGAATTCTGGGCGCTTAATTTATTTTTCTTTCTGGGATTTGGAGTTGTATTGTCTTTTCTGTATATTTCTTCATGTTGCATCCATAATCAGGTTTTGGACCGCAGTTGCATTGTATGAATAAAAATGTAAGATTTCAATCAAAGAAAAAAAGAAATTAACATTTAAATTTCTCTCTCTTTGTTCCCATTCTCATCCTTCCCTATTTCTCTCTCATGTTCTTTTTTCTTTTTCTTATCTTCTCATCTTCTTGCCATGCTAATCAATAATATCATGTTCTTGATTCTCCTAACAGTAGCTGAATCTGTCACCCGATGGGATGTGATATACAGGGCTTTAGGCTAAACTCTTATCATTCTCCAAAGAAAAGACAAGGAAAAAACGCCCAATATGTTCATTATCTTCTTTCATTAGGTTTGAGATGACCAACAAAGCTGCTTGTGGCTCATTTGTTTTTCATTCTCTTATTATTGTTGCCAGCCCTCCAATTTATGGAAATTGAAAGTTATAACAGAGCAAATTTGTGGTATGCATTTTTTGCATATTTTATTATGTCATAGCTTTGACTTTTTTTATTAATGGTATAGTAAAACCCCTCCTCTCTCTCTCTCTCACACACACACACAAAATGCAAGTACACACAAATACACACACATATATGCATGTGAAAACTCAGATATAAGCAGACACACAACTCTTCTGGCTCTCTAATGAACTTGCATGCTATTGGATTTCATGGTGCTCATTTGTTGACTTTTCTTTCGACGTTGGCAGAAGAATTCCTCCATGCATTCACAGGATTCTTCTACTTTGAGACCGAAGGGTACAATGCTTGAAAGGGCAATCAGGGAATTAGAGAAAATTGTTGCAGAATGTGAGCTTTTTTCAGGCGGAATGTTTGAAATCTTTATTATTGAAGAAATTTGGAAAAGCTATGCAGTTTTGTTTCTGTATACTCCAGCTTTGGTTCTTTCTCATGATATATATGTTTCCTTGACAGCAAGGCCAGTGAAATTGGAGGTCCAAGATGGTGATACTTCATCAATTGCTGTTAAACGAAGATTGCCCTCTGAAGTGAAGCAAAAACTTGCCAAAGTTGCTAGACTAGCGGTAAACAAGCACATCTTTTGTTTGTTGCTTGAGAATGTTCTCTTTTGGTACACTGCCAATTTTTAAGCTTATAGAGCTTTCAGTCTTCACCAAGTCATGAGCAATCCATTCATGTGCAAATTGCAGCAATCAAGCCAAGGAAAAATATCAGACGAGTTAATTAACCGCCTTATGAGTATTCTTGGGCATTTAGTGCAGCTCAGAACACTGAAGGTACTTATCATTTAAACAAAACACTGATGTGGTCAAAACTTGTTTTTCTGATCAGTGCTATCTCTTATAGCCTCGAATAGTTTGTCGATACACCTTACCTTTTGCAGCATGCATGATGTACCCAGAATATTTTCTGAAATTTAGTTGAAGTTACATTTCTGTTCATTGATTTGGCAGACTTGTGAGACTGTTCTTATAGGAAGTAGCACTATAGCTTGCTGTTATTGGTTATTTCCATTCTGATCACATGTTCAAGATTTTAGTGTTTTTTACATCTAAATAATGATAATGCTTTGACCACAGAGAAACTTAAGAGAGATGGTTTTACTGGGACTATCAGCAAAGCGGGAGAAAGCTGATAGATTTGAACAGATTAAAAAGGAAGTTACTGAGATGATCAAACCGCAGGTTTGCTCAAATTCCCCTCTGGTCAAAACCAAAAATTAATGTGTATCAGCAGTGATATAATGCACTATCAAGTGTTAAATCTAGTCGATGCAGGCAGCCTCTACTTTTTTCTTTTCAATTTCTGCTGCAGTATTCTAAAGTAGGATGCAAATAGTTCCATCCTTCTAACAGAAAATATCTAAACAAGATAGGGTGTTTCTAGTTTATGTTCTAACTTCATAATCTACTGATCATCTTATGACTTTATCATTGAGTCTTATTGCGGGTGTATTATTTTCCAGGCAGCAAGGCAAATAGATGCACAAACTAATGATTTTCAGGTAGCACTTGGTTCTGAAGGCAAAGAAGCAACTAAAGGAAAATATACCATGGATAGTGCAGTGGAAGATAAAATTTGTGATCTTTATGACCTATATGTTCAGGTGTTTTGTAAATTTAATATTAATACTCTTCATTTAAGTTATTTTGAACAATTCTTAATCCATATATTATTTGTTCCAGGGTATGGATGAAGACAAAGGTCCACAAATCAGAAAACTATATGTTGAGGTATCTACTACTCTTCGTAATGATTTTATTATTTAAATTTTCGGAAGGGTAAATATGAAAAAAGAACTCCTTATCCATTCTTTATCGAACTACTACCTTTACACCCTTCTCCATAAAATATCCATTAGCATACGATTTAAGAATTACTAAACTTACTTTAAAACAATTGTTAATCTTCCAGGATTTTCTTTCATATTTTTCAAAATATTAGATATTAAATAATTAGCAATATTCGTTGTTTTAATTTCAAAAAATCCCAGTAATGTTAACGAAAAAATTATTTTTTTCAAAATTATGTATATGCATATAATTTTTTAATTTAATCATATTAATATATTTCAACTTGTTTGGAAAATATGTATATAGCTTTAATATGGTATTATTTGATAGAGATGATAAATGATGAATATTTTAACAGTAATTAGTTCATACTTCTTAAAATAGAATAACTGAAATTTATTTTTTGAATTCCTAAAATATTTTGAAGAGATGACTGATGCAGAAAGCTATTTGATGAAGGAAATTGCAGCATTTAATAAGTTTTTGGATGGTTTATAATCCATTTTGTGTATCAAAGACATCTAATCTGTTGGTTGGAGTTACTGTTGGACTTCTTTGGTTCCGTTGTCTAGAGTACCAAATTATAGTAATTTGTCTGGTGCTTTCCTGTTTCATTTCAAGCTTTAATATGTAACTAGCCTCCTACCCAAAAACACAGCACTGTTCTAAATACTCACGCTTATTTGGAACAAACATTGAGAATAAATGAATGGCGAGCGCATGTTTATCTTCTGGCTCCCTGCTGAAATAATTTGTGAGCTGTGAAAATTGGTTAGGCCTGTGATCTTCCTTCCTGGAGAATTTCAACTTTTTTGTCATTTTCAGTCAAAAGCCTTGTTTACATATGCATATCCATATACATATAACATGTTTGTGTACATACACAAAGTTAGTTTTCGGAAGCAAAAACATTTTCTTTTTACAAAAATATTTATCAAACATGTTCCTGCTTTTTATCTTAGAATGAATGTAAAAATATAAACATGTTTCTGTTTTTCTCCTCAAGGGAATCCAGAGCCCCACAAAAAAAAAGGACAAAAAGAAAAAACAGAAAATAGTGACGGAAAATTCTCAAGTTTGTTTACGCTTTACTTGAGTTGGAAGAGTATCACCCATTCTTTTATATATTTCTGTCATTTTTTCATCACTTGGGTAAAAGATGTGGTGCTGCTTAGTACATAAAGATTTTTATTTTTCATTTCGAAATTCATTTACATTCCTACATAAAAATATATGTACTTTGTTGGAAATAAAAAGGTTGGAAAATAATGCTAAAAGTTGCATAAGTTAAGAATAAAAATGTTTCTAAATTCATGTTATGTTTTTCTGATTATTTTCTAAACCTTGTTTTTATTTCGATAGCAACACATGTTTTTATATGAACTAGAAATATTCTCATGTCCTTTGCACCCCTGGTGCTCATACTAATACTACTCTTTTACTTTTCATTTAAAAAAAAGGAAATATTCTCATGTCTAAAACAAGGTCTAAGCTTATCCAATAACTTTTCTCTATTTTCTTTTTTTCAATAATTTTATTTATTTTATTTCCTTTTGCTATTCAGCTTGCTGAATTGTGGCCAAATGGAGCTATGGACAACCATGGGATCAAAAGTGCAATTTGTAGGGCAAAGGAGCGCAGAAGGGTATTATATGGTCATGAGAAGGTATGCATGTTTCTTCGATTGTGATAGTGTTCTATAAAACTGTGCACTACAAAAAGGGATGCTCATGATTGAAAAATTTTAAATTTATTTTATTTATGTTCTTAATTTGCCCTCAAGCTCTTTATAATTTTTTGGTTGAAATGAGGAGTACCTCTCTTGTCCTCGCTATTTCTAGGGTTGTTTGGAAAGAGGGGAATAGAATGGCATCTGATGGCATCTGGTCTCCTTTCCATAGACCCTTTGTATTTAAGAGTTTAAGGGTCATCCCCTAATAATTTGCCCTCAAGCTCTTTATAATTTTTTGGTTGAAATGAGGAGTACCTCTCTCGTCCTCGCTATTTCTAGGGTTATTTGGAAAGAGGGGAATAGAATGGCATCTGATGGCATCCGGTCTCCTTTCCATAGACCCTTTGTATTTAAGAGTTTAAGGTTCATCCCCTAAATTGTGAAGAGGAGTGGGGATATTAAGATACTCTAACAAACTATTTTTTGTAAAGGTTTCTGGATGCAAGCTGCACTAACTTGGTGCCTTATGAATAAAAGCTCTCTTCCTTTTCCAAAAAAAAAAGTTTAGTTGAATGTACAAATTTCTTATACCTGTGGTTTTGACTTAGCTGCGGAATTCAAAATGTGATAAAAGAATGGAGGGCTAAAACTTTGATGTTTGAGTAACTTTTTCAGACAGTTTGTGGGACTCATGTTTAGCTATAGTCTATAGGCTGTCTGCAGGCTCGCAGTTTTGAATGGGTGAATGGATCTGCCCTACAGCTGCTAGTTAAATTGCAATCATGTATATGACCACATTATCTCATCATTCAAGAGCAATGACATTTGTTTATTCAGTGTCTAGGTAGGCCTAAAGAAATGCAATTATCCATGACTAAGATCAATCAGCTTGTGTCTCAGGCCCTTAGCACTGCCAGATCTACTTGATAGGTTAGGTTGATTTGATGTAGTCATCAAAAACCTTTCTTTATTAACTTTGTTTATTTGTTGTCTGGTTTGTTTTCTTGGTGGTATTCCTTCTGTTTCTCCAGGCAATCAGAAACCTGGAATAAAATGGAGTTCTTTTGTATCTTGATCTACAAGTTATTTCACAGCATGGGAGTAAATCAATTCAATTTACATGTTTTGGTGGTTGGGCGTAACTTAAATTCAGGTCCAAGGACATGACCGGAGCAAGAAGCCATCCACATTGAAAATGGAAGGTGTTGTTCAAGGAGAAGTTGATTTAACTTCACATCAAAAAGCTGTGAGAGAGAGGCCGATCTCTGAGTCCAGTAATCACATTTTTCCACTATCTACTGAAATCATTTACACTACTGCAATTGGAGAGCAGAATGTTGGTGGAGCTGCGAAAATGGGCAGCCCATCTTTGAAAGGTTCTACCATGAATCTTCACAAACAAGTAAAGCCTGAGAAAATCCCATTCCCAATGTCAAAAGAACAAATGAAGCAGCAACAGCCAGAATTGGAGAGTAGAGTAAGAAAATTATCTTTGAAACCGGTGAGAGAATCTCACAAACCACATAAGCGGTCAGTTGGGCAATTGGATGGTCTAAATCACCAGTCCGCTGCCTCCCCAAGCTGTGGACGATCTGACTGACTTTTTCTTGCTGTTACACGAAAGTTCTCATCTTTGAGATGTGAGTCAATGTAAAGCCCAAATTAATTGTATAACTAGAGAAGGGCAGTAGTAGGTTCGGTGTGCTGTCAGCTCTGCCTTGCTTGCCCCTCTTTCGAACCCTTCTTCTTCCATTTACTGTCAATAGCCTGCATCAGAAAATAGTTGGATGTTTAGTTGTGCAGTTGTTTAAGAGTTAGTAGATAGGGTAGCAGATAATTGTTATATATTCAAGATTGTTTAGTTGAAAGCATTTGTTTTGAACATTTTGGATCTCCAGGGATGAAATGTTCATCATCTTTACTGAGAATGTTTGGTGCTTTTATTTCAAAGATGCCTTTCTTAATGGACCCATTTGGTTATTATGTTTGGGTCTTGGGTCTTGTACTGGTTATCCAGTTCGACGTTTTTGTGGTATGTTTGGCTGGCGGGAAAATGTTCGAGAAACGAATAAAGATAACTTAATTTTGCAGTTTAAGGATTTTATTTTGAGGTTTAAAGATGAGTTTTCTAGGGTATAAAAGTATTTACAATTTTTTTTTTCAATAGTTTATTAAAGAGAAAAAGAAAAAAAAAAATAGGGGGAGTGATTGAGGAATTTTTGGAACTCTTACTGTTCATTTTAACTTCATATATATAATTTTTACTTTGATATTTTGTTAATGTGAGATTTTTTGGAGTTAACAAATGTGCTTTTATTTTTAGTAATTTTGTTATTTGAGGTTTGACTGTTATTACTTAATATAAAATTCTACTGTTTGAGTTTTTAAAAAAAATTTAACATAATTTGTTTCTATCATTAAAAAACCAATTTAAATTAAGAATTGGTATTACAAGATTAAAAATTGAAGTTAAAATAAAACTTAAAATATAAATTTTTTAAGAGGACAAATTTTGGGATTTTTATGTGTGTTAAAACTAATATATATATATATATATATACATATTTCAAATTGTTTTAACAGTTTACAAAAATTAATTTTTTAAAAATTTTAGACCAAGCTTAAGATAAACTCTAATTTTCGACTAGTCCATTATTAACTTTTCGATGTATTTATTACTGAAAGTATCATTAATCTAATTGATAATGAGTAGAACTAAATAATTCGATAGAAATACTTGTTGAACCATATCACATAGTTCTAACAATAATAAAAATTGTAGTTGAAAATAATAGTTTCAATATTTTTTATACATAATCTTTTGTACAGACGTTGTAGAGAACATATACTAATAAATATGTCCAATCTCTCTGTTACAATATAAATTTATTATATTTAAAATTATTTTAAATAATATTATATTGATTAATAGTTAAAGCTACAAATATTAAAATTATTAAGAAAATTCAAACCATACTTTTAATTTACTAATAAGTCTTTGGTAGTAATATAAGTTCTTTTTGAATCCGTTAATAAGTTGTATTATAATGAGAATATATATATATATATATATATATGCATTTCATTTTAAAAAATTATAAAATTAATTTTTGAAATTTAGTATTTGTTTGTGGGCCACAAGCCCAAACAAAGGGAAAATAGGATAAATCAGATTTGCCTACGCGCCACCGGAGCGCGTACCAACAGACGGATACGAAGTCCAGCTCTGAGGCCTGGTTTAAAAATGAGAGTTACGAGAGCAATGGCGCTTTGTTGTGGCCTGTTCAGTGAAGCAACCGAAGTGTTGGTGGCATTAGAGGGGAGAGAGAATCGGCAAAGGTGTGTCTCTTACCTCCATGTTTTTGCTTTGAGAATTTTGTTTCTGGTTTATATATAGTTCAATTCTCTTTCCGCTAGGTTTCTTATACCGGGGAAGTTGAGTGAGAGATCAGTTGAGAAAATGTCGTGGAGAGGGAAGAGAAAGGATGAGGAAGACCGTTCGTCCGGTGCCAAATCTGACGTTCACCAGCCTCCCAAGAAATACTCCAAGGTTTCTTCCTCCGACGACTCTGACGGCATCGTCGTCTGCGAGGTCTCTCTCTTTCTCTCTCTCTCTCTCTCTATATATATATATATGTATATATATCTATCTATCTATCTCGCTCGCTCGCTCGCTTTCGCTCTCTCCCTCTCTCTCTCTGTGCTCAATATATCTGTTATTTGTATGATTTTTTAGGGCTTTTGACTTTAGTTTATGCACTGAAAGATGTGTGTGTGTGTTTTGGTTTAGTTATCGAAAAATAGGAGAGTTTCTGTGAGGAACTGGCAGGGCAAGACTTGGGTCGATATTCGCGAGTTCTATGTCAAGGATGGCAAGCAATTACCGGGAAAGAAAGGTGTCCTGTTTCTCTTTTTCTAGTTGCATTTTTTTTTATAGGAATCGTATTTGATTTTTCATTCAATGGGCTTTTGAGAGTGTTGATTATGGTTTATGAGTTCTCTTCCCAGTTAGTGGTTTCCCTGTCATTTGTCATTAGGGTTTGACTTAGTTGCTTTTTTTCTTTTCATTCACTTACGAAGTAAAAGAGTATAGTTTTTACGTTTCTTTTTTCCTGAATTATTGATATGATTGGTATTCATGTCTTCTGGGGTTCACAGTAATTTTTAGTCTCGAGTCCGAATACACGTAAGGACAATTTATGCGTATTTTTCTTTTTCTTTATGTGGAGAAGATGAAGAAATTTTTTTTGATCGGATTGAAGTGTTCAGTTAGTGAAGTTTTTAGGAAAAAAAGGAATATAAAAGAAAACAAAAGATTAAAAAAATCTCTTAGAGAATTATCCTCCAATTGAGCCAAAAATTTCATTCATGTTTCTCAAATTATGAATATAATTCCATATATATATATATCTGTAGACGAGGATTTGATTTCAATCCTAAAAGCACCCAACTCCTCAAATAAGGAATAGAGCTAATTTGGTGCATAGTAAACTCTTACATCAGTAAGGATAAAATAAAAGTCAAATGTAATTGAAATGGAATAAATATAGAATCTTATAGGGTAATTTAGTTTGAGGAATACAAAAGGCAGCTATGAAGAGTGCAATGTCGAATTTGATGGGAGGTAGCATCATTTGCATGAACTAATTGGAAGTAAATAATACATATCCTTTGTTAAACAGTCCAGATGAGATGATGACTTTTTTGGTGACTGAAGGTTTACACAACTTGAGGGTGATTATTTGCATACCAAAACAAAAGTTTGTTCAGTTAATATTTTAAGGTTTTGAAGTCAAATTTTAGTGCTTTCTTTCGTTACAATCTTCCTAGATTCAATAGAGTTCCCTGTCTTGTATCCCAATGTGTTGATATTCTTAATCTGAACCTTTTTGCTGGATGGGACAACTATGGAGTTGGTTCACGATAGAATTATTTTTCTATTGAAAATGAATTTTCCTCTCAAAAAACTTAAATAACAATGTATTGAAGAATTTATATCATGGATCATAATATATAAACCCAGTTTGGTAATAAGCTTTTGGACTGTTTTTTCATGAAATTGTTTCTTGTGCACTTTTGTGTCTTCTCAAGTATACCTCTGAATAATGCATATGGTTTTTGATTGTTAGCTAAGCTTCATTAATGTAAGGTAAATTAGGTTTAATTTGGTTGCTTAAATTTGAGATAACTTAGTTATCACAACTAGAATTTCTTAGATATAACACGTTATATTTTTTAAGCATCACACCTAAAGTTTTGATCAGAGCACACAATCAGTAAAATTGAGAGCATTCTCAAGAGCTTATTGAATAGGAGACTGTTCTCAAGATTATACAGTTATTTATGGTGCTTTTTTAAGTGACTTTTCCCAAATAGGATTGGACTAAGATTTTCCAAAAGTAAAATAAAACTGATGCTAGTACGAATGAAATTATAATAATAGATTCTTAAATAATAAAAAAATTCTATATTGAGAAGACATGTAAATCTAGGTTAATCTAATCCACGTCATCAGTAAAAATTGTTGCATTCCTTAAAATTCCTAAATGATACAATAAATCTAGATTAAGAAGAGGTATTTTAATCTGCATCAAACTTGGTAAAAAATGCTGCCACCATTAAAATTACAATAAATACAATTTACAGTATCGACTTCCTCATTCTATCTAGGGCTGAAGATTGGGATAACAATTTGCTAATAAATTTTTATATGTTTCTCAAATGCACTGTAGCTATATGGATTCGATTTTCGTATTTAACTATTAATTGTGTTCATGTGCACAATAAATTCGTGGGAAGTTTGAGCTTGAAACAATGAGGTTTGATATTAATACTAACAGAGCTTGTTTCCGGTTTTCAAGCTGTGAACTTCTGGTGGTTGTATTTGTCATGAGCTTGTAGTCACTGGTTACACACAGCTTGGGGGCTTTCGCTCTATGCTTTTTGCGTTTTCCTAAGCCCAAAAAAAGGACCTGTGTGTGGTATTGCTTCATTGGTGATATGACTACAGGACATTTTTCATATATATCTATATATATGTATATACATATTATCTTTCTAACTTATGAGTTAGATTTTGTTGTTGCTCTTATTTTATGTTGCATTGACTGATTGACAACTTAAATAAGATTTATGAAATCTACAAAGAGTTGTCTATATAAGATCTGGAAGTGTATTGGAAGAGCTTTGGAATGTTGTGCATAAGTCACTTTTCCTACTTGGCTCTAGATGCTTTGTCAGCCATTCTTGCCATAATCTATCCTGAATCTGTTCCCTCCATTATTGTTGTCCAATTTATGTCATGACATTTAGAGCATTGAGTCCCCTAAAATAGTATTGAGTATGGTGCACTCTATTTTTTGCTGAAGCATTTGTGTGGAACGAATTAGTGAGAGATGCTGGGGCAAAAAAATGTTTCAGTTTTCATACAAGACTTTTTTCCTGTCTTTTCATTTGTCATCTGACTCTTCTGGTATTCTTTCATCTCTTGCCCTGACAAATACATTTTTTGGCTGTTATTCTTCAAGTTGGGATGACATAAAATTTCTTTTATTTTAGAAGGTAGTTTCCGTTATTAGTTCTTTTTTTGTTGTTAATATCTCAGGCCACCAGGCTGCAGGTTCGATCATTGTTCACTACCTTCCAGTGGTAAATGGATTCCTAGGGGATGAAAGGATAAGATCATGGGCGTAGCATTTGATCATTCATTCACTAGTTGGTTACTCGATAAACTTTCCTTTCCTTCTCATAAAGGGATCTTCTTTTCTATGTTTTTGGGCTTTTCAACAGCAAGGAATTCCTTGAACATTGCTAACTTCTCTCTCTCTCTCTCTCTCTCTCTGTGCCTATGGAAAAATGATTTTTGGAATATGCTATTGGTGTTTTATGATATTTATGTAAAATTATTTGGTGAGGCTAGTCCACACATTAGGCACTGCCTGGGGGAGTGCCCAACCAATCACCTTAATAGGAATGCATCATTATGTTAACAAGCTCTGTGTTACTACTTAACTGCCATTAATTTCATTTCGCAACTCTTGAATTTGATTGGCTGAGTATCAGCATAATTGTTGGACACTATGTTGGTCTCATAGTTTTTCGAAATTCAGTGAGTTAACCATTTATCTTTTCATTTCCTGTTTGTTACAGGTATTTCTCTGAATATCGACCAGGTATGCATGTCAAATTTGTTTTTGTTCTTTAATTTTTCAATAAAATCGTTGTGGGTGCAGTTTCCTCATCTCATTGTCTTGTGCAGTGGAGGGTGCTTGTGAATCATGTTGAGGAGATTGACGAAGAACTTGGTGAGGATTAGGACATGGCATTAATGGAGATGGAATATTGTTGATATTACTATATATAAATGGTAAGTTGTCAGAGATCGAGGTTTTTTCTTTTTGGACAGTTAGTTTTGAGAAACTCAGATGCAACCGACACAGATGATGTAGTGAAAATAGCAGGACTGCCTTTATGTATGGATTAAAGACTCTTTTCAAAGGAGCCTTGCCTGTGCATTGGTTGAATAATTTGTTGGTATGTTTTAGTTTACTATGTGAAATTTTTTGAACATACCTTTCATTTTTTATAGATATTAGTATTGTCTTACCCAGCTCGGATCTGGTGCTTTTAGCTACTATTGCCATGCATAATAAGGAACAACGGATTTGGTGACTTCGAAGTCATCTATAAATTTTTATAAAGGAAAAACTTCCCAATTATGTTCAAGTATTTGGGTAGTATGTGATTCTTTTAGAAGCTTTTATTTCTATCACTAATATATGGTATTATAAAATGTGAATGTCTAGAAAATTATAAAATGAAAAGAATAAAAAAGCTGTTCTCTGAGAGTCAAATTTTGAAAGCCAAAACATAATGATACAGAGTAAAAACTAACAAGATTTTTTCCTTAACCCAATCTCTAAACAGTTGGAGATTCCTGTACTCCTACTTTAGGAGCTTTTTCATCAGATGAGTTTCTTAACATATTTTAGATTCTTGCACTCATTTATGATCAGACAGTTCAGTAATACAGATAAGCTGCAAGTAATTTTTACGTTTATTAAGTGTACAAATAAAAGAGAGTTCTAAAAAATAAAAATTTCTTTTATGGCCTTGTAGTAAAATTGCACATGAAGACATAAGTAAATATTCTTCTAATTCAAGCCTCAAAGATACAATTGCAGGTGAAATCGCCATCTGTCTTCACTTGGTCTCCATAACCCAAAAATGAAACTTCATACTCATCGGATACTGATTATAGCATCATAGAAGGGCAGGAATGCTGAGGGATCCGCAGTTAAGCACTCTAGGTAATATCTGCAATAATCCGTTATGTCAAAATCAAAACAGCTAAGACCGTAAAGATCAAGACTAGTTTTCTTTTTCTGATTTTTTTTTAGAGAAAAAAAGAAAGATCGCGGTTGTACCTCCCCCAGTCTGGCATTAATTTTCAAGGGCACAAAGTCATCTGCCCTTGTTAGACCTATATTTACAAGTGCAGTAGCAGCACCTGTCTCATGAGCAGCTCTGTGAAGTAACAAATTTGAAAAGCCAATCAGCTGATACAACAAACTTGGGGAAATAATCTAAAATGGAATGGCTTAATTGACTGCAATTCACCTCATCTTGCTTTGCTAAAATGTAAGAATGTATAAGATATGGCCAACCTACAATTCAACCATCAGACAGAAATACAGAATCACAACTAGAAATCTGCATGGAATGCAGAAATCATCTATTTACTATTTCACCTGTAACCAGGCTTCAACGCGCTAACCTAACTCCGTATATATCAAACATAAATCAGCAATTACAGTTCCTACTGATTTGTCATGAATTAGTCGAACATAGTTAAGATTTCACATTCAACTTAAGTTTAACCAAACAGGAATAGGATATTTTGTCTTAATTGATCCTAGATTGCTATCTCCAGTTCCTCACTGATCAGCAAGCAATTAAGGAAAATGTAACGTCCATTGTTCTTGATGTATGATAGGGAAATAAAACTTCCTATACAAAAAAGCATCTGGCAAATAATGTTGAATACTGATAACTAAGTTCTATCTCCATCATAATACAGAAATAGATAAAATAAAATATGCACCTTACAAGGCGATATGCAGACATGGTCATCAAAGATGATCCAAGTACGAGGAAAGCATCACATTCTTTTGCAACTTCCATTGCCCTGCCAGCTCTATCCTTTGGGACATTATCACCGAAGAAGACAACCTTCACAGTAAGCAAAATGAAATCATTAGAGTTGCCTTCAGATTTTCAATTCAAATGTAACAAAATAGTAAATGGTTGTGTTCTGTATTGCTGAGTTGAGTTCATGTCAGCATCTGGAGAAAATAATTAGTATAAAGGATCAAAAAATCAAATAAATTTGAACAACATACTTAGAAATGCATATATTTTTTCTGTTTCTCCCTCAAGACTGATAAAAACTGTAGTTGGAGTCCCGTATCAGCCCCAGCAAACAAGCAGCAGGACAATAACCTAGACTAAAAAAATCATAAAATATTTCCCTCAAAATAAGCACATGTAGCCGCCTAATCTTGAAACAAATTTCAAAATTCACAAATGTGGAAGCCATTGTCAACTATCTAGCCTGTAATCTTGCGGATTTTAATCACATACAGTAAATGTCAATTGCAATTTTTCTACAGTTTCTCGAGATTTGAGAGCATTGCATCAAAAGGCTTTAAAGTATCTTCTTCTTTCTCCCTTTTTCGGCTTATGAAGGGACAAGACTATGTCATATGCATTGTAATGCATGCTGATCTATTCCTTTGTGTTACTGTTTAAGATATGCAAGAACACAAATGTTGGCTGTTCAATGTGTCTCTTTCCACGCAACAGTGATAATGGTCACACCCAAAATCATAAGCATTTATATTTTGTTTGGTTTAAGTCTATTCTGTTAACATTCTTCAGAAGCACCTATACTATCTTTTATTCAAGTCTATCTATAGAACAAAGATTGAACATAAATCAATGACATTAATAGGATCTCCATTACACCCTAGAACTAAGTCATTGATTCTTAAAAGTGAAAACTTAAGTTATTGATAATGTGTGTCTTGAGCTCTTATGCAGAATTCAATAATCATATTTCTTTTCAACTTGAGATTGAGGTATCGTAGTTTCTACTTCATCACAAATCACAATCCATATACCCATAAGATCCAACAGCAACAGTCCAAAGTCAACAAGCTGACATGTGATCTAATATTATTTGTAACACCTTGGATTTAAGCATCACTTGCCCAATAACTTTTTGAATCCAAACTGCTGACCATAAAAAATTTCAACAAATTTGAACTAAGTTATTGGTTGTGTGTCACTTGAGTTCTTATATCAAACTCAACAATCACATTTTTTTAATGATATGGGGTTAGGATATCACAATCTTCAAAGTCACTTCTCCTTCTAGATCACCTAATAATTGAACAAATCTACTTATATTTTCACTTTCACAATGATAAATTTATATTCCAACATGTCAAAGAAGAAATCACAAAAACACCCACCTTGAATTGAACACGGAAATGAGTTAGAATTAGGTTGTTCTATTCAAATATTTATCTTATTTGTACTGTATTCTCATTAACATTCCATAAAATTAAAATTTGAACCAAAATCAAAGTTAAGGTGTTTGGAGATCCACGATCTCAATTACAACAAGTAGGACGGTTGCTATCATGAGCAAATGGTGGAAGGAACAAGATAGGTTAGAAATACTGAGCAAGAAAAGTCACCATTCTTCATCATCAGTATCATACACCTGGAACACATTAAACTTCAATGCATTAAAGCAAAATAACTTACATCAGGTTTTAAGATTCCACTGCATTTTTGGCAAGTGGGAATGTGGTAATCTTCCTCCCAGAATTTCTCATCAATCTCTATATCACCATCAGGCCTTTGCTTCATGCCAAAGCTCTTGTCAGATCCAGGGGCACCATGATCTAAACTTTCTATTGCTTCAGCCCACTGCAGTAAAACACTAAATCTCAAAAGTTCACCACAGATCAACTAGGAGAAGAATAGGTTCTCAAAAAAAAAAGGAAGAAGAAGATACAACCTAATGTCAGCAACGAACATTTGCACACCTATCTAACATTAAGTCAATTATTAGACATATAAGGAGACTTGATGGTTGGGGCATTGAAATTTTAAGGCAACCTTAACTATCATATATATAGTTAATCACATGAGATGACAGATGCAAAATCTTAGAGAACTAATAATTTCATTAACACTGAATTAAAGGTCAGTCCTAGCTTGAGTTCTGATGTTTGTATCTGTTCATAGAGAATTAATATTAGAAGATTTCACATGAGATACATAATGGGAATAATGCAATGACACTAAATTAGAAATACTAACCTTAGGATTAAGGGCTTTTAGTTCATCCTGAAATGAGTTCCGGGAAAAGGAAAAACCACAATCTAAACAAGCTACAGTATATACAGTCCCATGTAGCTCAAGTGGGTTGCTTCCAGCACGATGATGAAGCCTGAATCAGGCGCTTAATTATCAGAAGACTACATACAGCAGAATTTCTCAGAACAGTATGAAAAACTGATTACCTGTCAACATTCTGAGTAATCATGAAATTTATTCGGCCAGCCTTTTCTAAAGATGCCAAAGCAATATGAGCTGCACCAGGCTGTGCAGAAGTAAACCGTCTCCATCCAGCATAGCTCCTTGCCCAATAACGCCTACGTGCGCGGCTTGAACGGAGAAACTCCTACAGAAGCAGATAGGATTTTTTTTTTTTTAAATGTAGATTTTAAAAAAATATGGGCATATGGGAAAACAAAACTAACAGCAGCAGAGAAGGCATATTTCAAGGCTAGTAGCAAAGTTTCAAAAGAATCTTGGCTAAATATGCTTAAAGAAATATCTTAATGATATCTTAGATGGATAAAAGGGAGTGGGGTATAATGGGCTTCTATGTAGAATAAAATCTTCTTAGCTTCCTTCGTAACAAAAATATAAAGCAATATGAACTTCAGAAGAAGTACCATACTTTTTTATAGGTTTGAAAAATTGGCACACATCATTCATTTATTATAAAAAGAAGCAAATAAAGAAGCTACATTAAACTGTGTTTTCCACAAGTTCTCATTTCCTCTGCCATTCTCCCTTCTTTTTTTGTTTTCAATTATTATAGCAAAGGTCGGTTAGTTCAAATTGACGAGCCAAGTTCTCCCTCACCCAAGAACTGCGGAGAAAAGAAAGAAAAAGATATAAATTTACTCAACTATTCAGCTGCCTAGTGTTTGCAGATTTTGCCAAAATACACAAAAAAAAAAAAAAATCAGTTGCAAGCAAAACAATCAAACAATAATTTTTTAGGAAAACCTACAAAAGTAAACCATGCATGGGAAGCTGGTACTGTCACAATGCTTATTAGCCTGTTCCTTAAAATGACAAATAACGCTCCTATTGAGATATGACATAAGCGACCATATTAACCATTTTGTTTTTCTTTACCCCTATATGCAAGGCTTTCTAACTTCGATCTTATTTCTAGTACATAGTTAACAGAAGCCTCAAATTAAATAATGCTAAAGGTTTTTTAAAAACAAATGTTAGACAGATTTTCACAGCCCATGCCTGCAGATCACCTGATGGGTAATTGGTTTGAAACCGGAACTATAAGCTCCATTAGGGCTGCAACAAAAAAACAGAAGTCAGCATTCTTCCCCAAGAGAAATAGAAAATGATATTGCAAAAGAAATAACAAACAATTTTGGTAAGTGAGGAAAATGCTACAAGGAAAAGTCTAGGAAACCTGCATCAATCTGATTTAGGTAAGGCATAGTCAGTCAAAGTAACAATATTCGTCCTGGATTCAAGAGAGTGCATAAACAGACAAATAAATGTACTGATGAGGATACACCCTGCATTCCATGAATCAGAAGAGCTACCAACTCTCTGTAAAATACCTACTTTTGAGTTAAACCATTAAAAATATTTCATTCTCGCTGATGATATAGTATAAAAGTGCCGTAAGATACAGATATAATTATGATATGTAAAAGAAAAGATGAAAAACCTCCTAAAAGTTAACCGGCAATCAAATAAGACATTTAATATATGCATCTCACTTCATGTTCAACAAGAAACAAGGACAATTAAATCAATTAAAGGGCTAAAGAAGTATTCAGATATTGGATGATACACCTAGAGAGAGAAGATAAACTTTGTTTTCATTGCAAATAAAAGACACTGCTTTACTGACACAATAAATGTAGGTGCACGTTAGGACTTGTTTCCGTGTTTGAAGCATTAAACAGTTGTTGCTATGTATTTTATAGATCTCTAAGTTTATTTAGCAAAAACAGTGAAGAATATGAACCTTCGATAATCTGGAATTCCACATTCTGTACTAATTCCAGCTCCAGTCAATACAACAAGATTGGTGCTGCACAGTGGAAAAAAAGAAAAGAAAAAAACAAATCAGACCTTTTGAAAGGTTTGGCGCACTTGTAACATAATTTAAAAGGATCTGTATAAGAATGGAGAGAGTGAACTTAGTTTAGTACTCAAAATGAACTATTAGATTTTTGAATTGAACTGTTTGTGTTCAATACATTCTCTCTTAGACCCAAAAGAACAAGAACCTGCAAAGTACTAAGGAACTCTAACAACAACAATCCAAACACATAAGGATGTTAAAGTATGACCTTCGGTCAAAGAATTGATACAAGCTGTTGACATTGTCAATGCTTGGAGGATCTGAATCGGGAATCACATTCTTGCCCCTCAAAAATTTTGAAGGCACTTTCACCTCATTCCCTAATGAAGTACCAGGCATAGAAATGCGACATGATGTTTGGACAGATCTTATGCAGCTCTTAAACCATAGAACTCTTCTTCCTCTGCTCTCTAATATCCAACCTTTGCCATATGGTCGAAACATATCTGGAAAAGTAAAACCTTGCAAATAGATAATAAGTTGCATAGACCACAATAGCCTGGGTAACATGAATTTATGAAACGAAAGAAATCAGAGGATGAGATGCTAAAAACTTGCCGGTTACAAAACTTCCTAGGACTTCTCTAGCATTTATTGACGCCTGCAAGTTAAAAGTAGAAGTTTTGGTATGAAGAACTCCAGACAGAAACTGAAAACAGCTGCATACAACTACTGCCAACATATTAATAAACAGTCTTCAGAAATACTAAAGACTTTATACTGTCCTCTTTTTTTCCGTTGTTGAAATTCAAATTACAGGTAGAAAATTATCCAATATCTGATCAGTGGAACTGTAAATTGATTAATATGTCGCACGCAGAGGACAATTCCAGCTTTTTTTTATCACCACTTTCAGGATTTCCATCTTAACGATAATGTGAAAGAGAAATACAGAGAAATTTCATTACTAGTTAGAAATTGTGTAAAATCCATGAAACTACATACGAGTTGACGAATTACAGCTTCCAAATAAAGAAGCATTGGATTGAAAAATGGACAGAATGAATACTCGGCCGAAAAGAATGTAGAGGGAGAGAGAGAGAGAACCGAAACTTACAGAGAAAAAGGACTGGGGATGAAAGGAAGAGAGGCGCAAGAACATGGCGACTCCAGCTTCTGGGGAAAACGAATTGAATAATTTTGTGTTTGATGCAAACCAAACAAGGTTCTAAAACATTGGATTTATGTAAGAAATTCGAAAGAACTAAGTTTCCGAGGCTATGAAGCTTGTTTTGGATTTTCCTTCTCTTTTTTCTATAAATCGTCATAAAAACTGTGTTCTGTCTCTTGTTCCACGTTGCCTACTCGTCCACCCTGACATTTTTTGAAGAAGGAAATGAACCGGTCCGGTCTCCATGCCGGGACTTTTAATTCGGTTTAGATTCGGTCCGGTCCGGTCCAGTTCAGTTCTGGACCTTAAAAATTTGTCTATCCACTCTATTGTAAACAGACATTTCCTTCAACCCATGGCTCTACAAGCTTGCTCATTTCTGTCCTCAAACCAGTGCCACAACCCTCCCTATTTTCCTAATTTCTCTCGTACCAAAACCCTACTCTCTGTATCAGCTCCGAGATTCCCTTTTTTATCTCAAATTCACGCTTTAAAAACAGGCATTGACAACGACAGAAAGGCCCTGCTACCTTCGCTTTGCTTCAGCAGGAGAAACCTCAGCTTCCCAATTCTCGCATTACTCGTAAATGGATTTCTGCTGAAAGATTCTATAGCTATGGAAAACCAAGAATTGCAGCTGGAGAGATACACAGATGTCAAGGAGGGTTTCACTCTACTCAGACCCTCTTCTTGGATTAAGGTTTAAACCCCTCTTTGTCTTTTTTGATGGTCAGTTTGTATGTTCATTGGTTAATTTCTTCTTTTCCTTCATGGGTTTTGGTGATAAGGTAGATAAGGCAGGAGCAACTGTTTTGTTTGAGGAGGCAAATAAAGGGAGTAACAATGTTGGGGTAGTGGTGAATCCGGTTCGTCTCAGTAGTCTTGAAGAATTTGGTAGCCCTCAGTTTGTGGCTGATAAGCTTATTCAAGCAGAGAAGCGCAAGGTAACTGTTTATTTCATGTGCTTACCCAAACTCAACATTTTATTTCTGTTAGTACTATGTTCATCTTTTTTTGCATGGGAGGCTAGTAGGGAATTTTTTTACAATTGACAACTTGAAGAAGAGGGGAAAGATATTGGTCAATGCTTGTTTTCTTGGTAAGAGGGATGAGAAGACTTGTAAGCATGTTTTGCTTTGGTGTCCGGAGGTTTACAAGCTGTGGACTTTGGTGTATGGGCTAATGGGTATTAGTTGGGTGATGACAGGTTTGGTGAGGGAAGAAATTTGGGCGTGGATGGGTATCAGAGGCCGGCGGAAATAAGTGGACATAATTCCGCTCTCTATCTTTTAGGTAGTATGGAAGGAGATGAATGGGGGGCTTTTGATGAGGTTGAGGACATAAATGGTTTTGATATCCTTAATAATAGATGGTTCCAGATTATTGGTTTTTTGTTACTGAGATCATTCTCTTGTTTCTATGGAGGATTTAACTGAAATTGTTGATATGTTAATTGACTTGTAAATTTTATACATGAGTGGCATCCACTTAGTATCTATATTAATAAATTCACACTTTATATTTCAGAAAAAATGAAATTATGTTAATCTGTTTGGTGATATTTATTTGACTCAGAGCAACCTTTTCCCAAGGAACTTGGAATGAACTCCATTAGTAGAAATAAAATTGGTGTCTTCCAAAATATCTTCGATTAAACTAATAGGAGGTGGTGGAAATTCTGGTGCTTTAGGTACCTGTGTATCTGTTGAAATTCTAACAGGCAAAGTAGGAGTTGAAAATAGCCTCGATCAGGAAACAGATCTTCTTTGTTGAGAACTCGACTAATATTCATATAATCAAGTAAATGAAAAATAAGCACTAGGTCTGAATTTTCTGAAAAAGGGAATAGTCCATGGTTGAGCATGTTACTTTTTTCATTGTGGGAAGGATATTGTTCTAGTTTGGCGTGAGGATTGTTCAGCTTCAGAAGAAAAAGTTATGTAAAAAACTGCAAAATATGATCCTGAGTTTCTAAAAATGTGTCTGAATTTCTAGAATAAGGCAACTAGATGACATAGGGGGGAGTTGAGATAATGTTTATTTTTTCTGTTTGGTATGCAGGAGAGTACGAAGGACGCGGAGGTAATTAGGGTTGCAGAGAGGTCAGGCCAAAGTGGTGTGCAAGTATACGAATTTGAGTACAAGGTTGATAGCAGCAGGGGAGGAATGAAGAGGATATTCTCAGCTGCTTTTGTGGCATCGAAGAAGCTTTACCTTTTGAATATTGCTCATTCAGATAAGCCAGAGAATCCTCTTGATACTCACACCAGAATGATGTTAGAGGAAATTATTCACTCCTTTGATGGGTTCAATATGCAGTTGAATAAATAAAACATAAATTGTAGATTCCCAATATCTTTAATTCATTTGCCTTTGTGTATCAATCAGATATACAAATAACACTTGCTTTATAGTCTAAGTCTTATCATTTTCAATTGAGAGATTAATATTCTTTCTTTAAGAACATGTTTTTTAACCCCAAAAAAGAACTCTTCTTATTTATTAAGCAAGTAAATTAATAATATTCTGTTTTTTCTTTTGTGATTTATAATTATGGAGATCAGTCTGCATCCTTAAATAATCCAAGCAAGTCATAAAGAAAACTAAGCTAGAATTGCAAGCGTTTATTGATCATATATATTACATAGATGGTAATAAGAGTCGCTTGGAAATTACGCCTAAAGCATGATATATATATATATATATATGTGTATATATGATACACATAGTAGGGGTATAGATTAAGGAACAATTCCTCCATCCAAATAGCTGGGAAAATCATGATCGTGATGGGGAGGGAATTTCTGAATCTGTGATTTCAGTACTTTGAAATCTTCCACCCACAAACTATAGCTTGAATTCCTAGCCAGAACATCAATGGAAACTTCTTTCCTCTCCACCAGCCCTTCGGCGTACTTTTCAAATTCATTAATGTTCTCCCACAGTAAACCTCTCTTCCTTGCATCATTCTCACTTCTAACACTGTCAATCCAATCTCTTGCTTCCTCCACTCTTGCCCAGAAACAAGAATCCTGTGTTGCACTTGCGAATCTGCTCCTGATCTGCTTGTTTCCTTCATCATCCACATGTGTGTTCCTCCACCATCTGTCAAAAATCTCGTATCTCCTCTCTCTCCCATGCTTAATGTAATGACCCTTCACGCGATGCTGTTGGGTCCTGTAATATTCTGCTATATCTAGTGGCTCGAATAGGAGCTTGTAGAACTGAGAAGTGTTTACCCATTTTTCGCGCGTGGTAAAATCATGAGGCAGCTCATTGTTCTGCAACATTTCAATTATCCTGTCCCAGAAGTTGGCAAGTTTGATGCGGTTCATGTTCACTCTGGCTTCCCTTCTTGAAGATTGTCTTAACTTGAAAGAATCATAGTAACCCATTTGATCATCAGACATATCACAGCATGCTTTGTACCATTCAATCTCTGCTCGGTAAGGTACATGGTGAGATAATCTAATGGCGAGCGCTCCAGCATTCAGATTTGGTGATGTTCGTGTCATCCTCCTTGCCATCTTCAGACAATCTCTGGCTGCTCCCGCTATCATTTCCTGTTTCAACATCATCAAATTGGTTGCTAATTCACTTGGTAATTCTTTGTACTTGAGCTTGAATCAAGACACCCAGTAATTTCAGCAACTAAAATGGAAATTACCTGATTTGGAATTCCGGCTGAGTCCAAGGCCAACGAAACGCCTGCATCATAGTTTGGTTCGTTAACTCCATTCACGAAGCTTCTAGCAGTCAAAAACTGGGAACAAACTCTACCCACATATTGTTCGTAGTTGAGATGGTCTTCAATGCAAGAAGTTGGAGAAGCCGTCATGAGAGTCAACTGCATCATCTTGATAACCGACTCAGCAGTGTCAAGACACAGAGCTCCCATCTGAGAACAGAAAAGATAGCTCCCAAATGGCCAAAACCCACTCGTGCTCGTCCCATCTCCAGCTTGAACCAAGTAAGCCAACACGAAGCAGAAAATTTCAGCAATGTGTTGGTTAGGCAGATTGCACAAGTGGAGGAGGTGTTGGAGGTGAGGAGCAAGGAGGGAAGGTGGAGAAATCAGGAGCCTGGGAACCACGTCGTGTTTGGAGAGGACATGGCAAAAGTTGGCAGCCCATCTTTCACGGATAATGGCTCGAGAAAGGGAGCGGTTGCCGAGGAGTGGTGCGCCAAAAGTGATACAGATAAGGTGGAATGGTGAAGAAGGGAGGGATTGGAGGCGAGAGAGGAGATAGAGTGCGGAGAAGGAAGCCAGTGCTCCACCGACAGAGTGGCCTGTGATCACCACCGATTTGCATTTCTGAGTTAATGCCGGCATCTGCAAGGACACTTGAATTAGTTACTCATAGCAATTCAATAATCAACTTCATTAACTAAATTCCAAAATACCTATTTTATTTATTCTAAACGTTTTGTTAAGACTCCATTATTCCTTACGTCACTTAAATCCAGCCATAACCCTGATGTTCATTTTAGTTCATTAACTGGATTTGTTACTACCGAGATTGGCCATGCGGAACACTAATATGGTACGTAGCACTTGTCCTACGTGTGGAGATGCAGAAGAAAACATTGACCATCTTTACAGAGATTGCTCCTATGCAAGAGATGTTTGGAAGATTAGTCAACTTCCGTCCCTTTTCAGGATAATGTTAAGGTTTCATGCTTGGTTTCAAAGTTTTTCTTCCACATCATCGTCTGTTTCCTGGTTCGTGGTTCTCGTATATTCTATGGGGGGATTTGATGGAGTTGTAAATAAAGGGCTCGCCAGGAAAAATGAATGCTCCCATTTCTTCTCTTACTACAAAAGCTCCACTAAAACATCAACGAGCTAGAATCAGGAAAAGAGAGATTCTTGTTAGAGAAATGAAGAGCAGCCAAATTTTTAAGGCAACAACTTTTAGCATCCACCCTAATGAAGGTACAAATACAAGTTAAATTGCGATGCTTCAATGGGTCAAGATGGATGGTCCAAATTGGGAGTTGTGTGCATGGATAATTGTGGAACTGTTGTTTTTGGGGTTGATACGGTACAAGTTTTAGCTCTGTAATTTGGTTTGCAGGTGGCATCCCAAATGGGTATTACTGGAAGGAGATTTTCAGGGTGTCCCAAATTTGCTTAATTTCACTATAGAAAAGATTGATGTAGTGCGTTTTCGAATCGTCAACAACTACAACACTTGCAATTAGACGGTCAACTCCAAATTTCTTGGTCAACAACTACTACATTTGCAATTAGACGGTCAACTCCAAATTTCTAGTTTCAATGTTTGATCATATTTTCATCAACGAGGTTAATTATGGATATTGATTCTTAATGCTTCTCTTGCTCAACTCTGTGCTACAAATAAACATGCCCCCCCCTAACTACAAACTAATATAGAAACTCTATCTTGATAAAACAGAAATGTATTTATTTAAATAAATATTTAATTCATAAAGTTAAGAATTAATTACACATAATAATTGTTTTACTTCTTTAATACATAAAAATATCATTTTATTTGATTTTATAATAAAATATATATAAATTAAAAAAATAAAAAGTAAAAAGTATTTTTAATGTAAACATAGCCTTTATATTCTACATATATTTTGACATTTACGAAGTGTATATATATATATACACACACACACGTGTGTGTGTGTGTGTGTGTGTTGAGAGGACTTATGTGGGGTTGAAGTGCGGGGTTCGCGAGCGGATTGTTTTTTTTTTTTTCTTGATCCGACAGAACACCATGCATTGAACATGGACATGAGATTATTCATATGAATTTCCAAGTCATTCCCATCAAAATTTGACCTTGACGCACCATTTTTATCCAACTTTTATTTTCTGTTGCGTGTGGTACGGTACAATTATTATTCATTTTTATTTTACTTGTAAATAATTTAATAATCCTATAAAAAATAAAAATAAAAAAACTAAGGATTTATTTTAAAATATTGTGAATTAATTAACACAAACATAAAAGAATACTTATTAAATTATGTTAAGCTGAATAAATTCATTTTTTTTTTTTTGTCTCGTTTAACAATTAGGAAATTTTTTACCAAATTTTAAGATATATTATTTCTTGTGCATTTAAGACTCTCCTCAAAATTCGCTTTTTTATCATACATATTTTTAAATGCATTTCATAAGAATTAAATATTTAACGCACCCAAATGGTTTTGTAAAAAAGAAAAAAAAAAAAAAAAAAAACAGGATTTGGGCAATTGCAATCTTTGGATTGATTGTGCAAGTTGGTGTATTTTATGTTGTTTCTTATTGCATCCATTGATTTATATTTCAATGAAGTAACCAATGAGTAGAGTGAGTTTCAGTGACTTCCAAAATGGTATGATATTAGAAATGAAAAGGACAAAGGACTTTTTATAAAGCAAAGCCTTTCCATTGATTTTTGTTCTATCAGAACTTTTTCAGACAAATCATGATATTCTAAAAATTTAGAATCAAATTATTAGTTTTCCTTAATTTGATTCTCCTTTATGATCAAATACTTTTCAGCTATATTCAAAGTTTTAGAAATAGTCTTGACTACTTTGTTTAGAACTTTAGGCTTGAAATTCAATCTCAACTTTGAACTCACCTATATTTACATATCAAATCAATTTTATAATATTACTTATAATTATTAAGTATATTAGTGTTGAGTTAGCGTTAGAAGTGTGTGTAAAATATATTTATTTTCTTAAAAGTTTTTGAACCTGAGGGTCCACAAATTAAATTAAAACTTGATTGAGATGAACTTATGCTGTTTATAAACAGATTCTGACTATATTTTGTACAAATTCAAAATTTAATTTGTTTACAGAATTTTATCGAAGGAATTTAAAATGTATTTGTTCGTATTCTATATATATATATATATATATATATATACATACACATATGATTTATGAATTTGTTCTGGATGTAATTTTAGTTGACATTTTATTGATCGTGAATGGTAACTGAATATGATGGTTTCTTCTGCTTTGATTTGGATGAAAACAAGGATAATAACTCCTAGTCTAATCAAATATGCTTCGGATATGAAAGCAACCACATACAACCTTTACCTGTTGTTATTATTATTTTTTTGAAAAACAATTGTTTTCTTCTTTTGAGAATCAAATATGTAAAATTCAATTATTGTGTTAATATATATATAGAAAATTAATTTGGTGAGAAAAAACAAGAATTGTTTTCCCTCCCCACTGTTAGGCTTCAACCGAGATCAATTAAGATAATGATGAAGGAGAGAATTCTAAACTCACCTGGCTTTGAAAACTGGGAGATTGAAACACCGACAAGAAGAGAGAAAGCAAGGCTGCGTGCACCATCACCGGCTCCTCGCCGTCGATCGGCCGACACAGAGGAAATAAAGCGCTACTACAGCTAGCGAAATCTAGCCGCACCATCTCTCTGCAACTCGGCTCCGATCCCACATGGACCATCTGCGCAGCAGGGAAAGCCACGTAGACAATCTCCCCGACTTGCTCCATCACGAAACTCTGCGGCGAGTTTCTGGTGGCAACACTGCACATCCTCCATGATTCCGACAACAATGGCGTCGATGCGATAAAGGTGGCCAGCATCTCGCTGCTCTCAAACCTGCCGACGTTAATTTCGACATAATTAAATTTCAAACAACAACCGAGTCAGACACCAGAGAATATATTTTCTTTTTCTTTTTGTTTTTTCTTTTTTTCCCGGAGGAAAGAAAAGGAAAGGAAGTTTTCAATTAATAATAATTAAGACAAGTTGAAATTAGAAGAGTAGAAGACAGATTTAATTACCATGAAGCTTCGGTATCCATGGAGAAAGAAAAAGAAGTTGTGTTCTGGTTTGAGTCTTTGCTGAGAAAATTAATTTTGAATTTGGATGTTTCAAAGGATGGCAAGTTGCTTGATAAGTTCTAATATATTGTAATACACCCACACACACACACACACATATATATATATATATAATATGAATAAAAATAAATATGGTAAAATGAGAATTATATAATCCTCTAAAATACATTTTTTTAAAAAAAAAAGCTAAAAGTTGAAAGTCTAACTGGTGCAAATACAATTATTTTGCATCTCACCCCAGTTGCTTTCGCTCTAACTTATTTATGGGTTCAATCCCAATGTTTACGGAATCCTTGAAAGCTAAACAAAACATATATATATATCTATACACACACACACATAATTATTTGATTCTTCATCAAATTATTATAGAACATGATAACTTCTTTATTCCTTAGAATTTAAGAAAATTTCGCACCATTACAAAATCTAATGATCTTCTTAAAAAAACAATTTAAGGGCATCAAATTATTCAGAAACATTAAGAGTAATCCATCCTCACAACCAAACTGTTTAACTAAGAAGTTTGATTTTGGTAATCAACAAACCTTTAGTATATTGTAATATTAATATTTAATGACCTTGTATAAAGGTCTAAATTAATATATCATGCAAGAATTCTTATGATTCAAGATTGAGTAGCGGTTGACTATTCTAACAATTTGAGCTGTAGCTGTCTATTCTAAGGGACCCAGCCAAAGGCTTTCTCAGTGGCACTTCATGTTTCTAGATGAAGTAGTCAATCTGCAGATGTAGAAAAGAATAAACAATATAGAAAGTCTGCATCATCTCATCTTTTATTGAATATTCAGTGAATACTCAATTAGGTGTTTCCTTGCTCGAATCCGATCAGAGAGTTGAAGTTTATCTTCCAGACCTAACCTTTGTTTTCATCAGTAAACTTTGCACGATTTAGATAGTTGAGTAGAGGAATGAACTGAATCTTCCTGGTGATGATGTAAAATTTTGGTGTGTTAATTTAACTAAAAAGGTGTTGCGTTCGCGAAGAGGGAATTTCGGGGGACAAATAGTTGACTAGAACGAGCACAAGGCCCTTTTGTTATGGTATTTGGTTCAGATCTTATACCTTGTCACGATTAATGGTTTTCGGAATACTTTTTCCCTAATCTTCATTGAAGATTTGTGATAACTTATGTAGGTAGGTCACACTGTTTTTAGTAAATGATCATCAAAATAGAAAGACATTGAAACAGAAAAGATACAGAAATCCAGATCAGATCAAGTGTCACAAGTAGACTCATGCGATTGTCCGGAGTGCTGAGAAAGTGAAAAATTCCACTATCCCTCCCTTGCTTTCACCGCAGCTAAAAGGAAGATGAAAAAAAAACCACTTTCAGTGAAAATGATATTGACTCCACTTTCAGTCCAACAACTCTTACACCGCCTCGAGATCATCAAGAACAATGATATTGCAGACATTAACTTTTTCCCCTTCTATACACATGTACATTTTTTTAATCTTCGGGGAATATGCATTGGGGAATCAAACTAGCTAGATTATTTGTTTGGTTTGCTTTATTCTTAGCATGAATTTAGATGAATCAACATCAAAAGTCGAAAAGTCTTGTCTCATTTCTCCATCTGTTAGAAGAGTACTGTACACAGAAAAAGGGCACAATTTGAACAAGAAGAGATAGCATTCGACTTTTGGAGACTGGCCGGCTTTTTAGCAGTCGAAGTGGGTATAAAACATTGTCCAAAGATCGGAAAGCTAATTTCACGAACGTTTGTTTGTTGTATAGTAGGGTTTCAAATTAAAGAAAACAAGATTGAAAGTCAAAAGACCTTTGCAGAAGGAAGATCCGACTGTGATGCATTTATGGTAATTGTTCTTGATAGAAATAATGGCTAGTATGAGATAACTAAGTTTATTCCAGAGCATAATCATATACTTCATCTTCCTAATACAGCTCACATGATGCTGTCAAACAGAAGTTTCTGAAGCTCAAGCCATTGAAATTGATTTTGCAAATGATTCAGGAATAAATCAAAATTGGAACCTCTTCTGAGTAGTATGTGGACAAAAGATATGGTGGAAAAAGATAACCTTGGTTAAATTGAACAGGATTTGAGAAATTGTCTTTGGAACGAGAGACAAAATCTTTGGAATTTGATGAAATAGTTGATGAAAAAAAATCCTGGTTTTTATTCTTAGACAAGAGATGGAAACAATAGAATTTGCAGATTGTTATGGCATTTGTGGTCCACTTATATCAAATGATAAATGAAGCATGTGAATTCAAAGAGGGATATGACTTGCTAAATCAAGGTGTGATGGATTTGAGGAAAGGCTTTCAGATAATAAAAAGAATAGTTCATAATAAAATACGATGAGCATGAAGAAAACCATCACAAAGGCAAACAAATAACTCTACATTGCCAATGCAATGACATATACCTTCATGTGCTAAACCATGGTAAACGCATGAAGTTTCCAAAATATCATGCCAACTAGTACCAATTCATGGTTTTTTATCTGCTGTAAATCTAGAAACTAGAAAGGAAAAAACCACCATTATTAACATGTTTCATATACATCAATTTCATTTATTCTAGGAACTTAAAAAGACCCTACTTCAAGTTTGCAAATTTCTTTTAATTCTCTGGATCTCCTCCCTATAAATTTGTGAGAAGTCAAGTGCTTGTTAATTAAATTTATAAAATCCTACAGAGTGTACACCTTAAGAAAAAGGATATGTCATTCACATCAAATCTTGTAACAGGACATTATAAAATTCCACATAATGTTACTGTAGAGGTTACATAAAAGCTTTGAGAAGATTGTTTCACCTGCAATTTCTTCTGCTTAAGACTTAATCAGCTTTGCAGCAAACCCAAAAACCCATGCCTACATCTGAGACAAATGAAATGGTAAGATCAATCATGATAATATCAGAAATTTCATGGACATGATATCAAAGTGCAGCATTTAGAGTAGAACTCCACAAACATATTTAGTGAAACTGGAACATCGTTTTTTCTTCTCCTAGTGCTCTTTATGCTCTTTAAAAAAAAGTAGAAATGCATGTGAGTCATTATGGGAAAATTCTAGCATGGAAAAGTTGCTTAAGCAAAGACTTGTATCTGCAAAATGTCTCAAAATGAAAGCCGTATTGATTTGCTGTTGCCACATGACTTAGTTTACTAATTTCGTAACACCTAATTATGTGTGTGCGCACACAATATATACATGTATATATAATCAATTATAGAACTTCTACAAATAAGATTACGTGTGAGTGTGTGTAGTTTTTCTAGCTATGGATTTAAAAGAAAACACTGCTGAAAAAGTTCATTAACCCGTTACTACTCGTAAGCATATATTTATACACACATATTAGAATAAAATAAGTTTGAATAATTAGTAGAGTTTTTTTGTAAAGCTAATGCTAGCATTAAAACAACTTCTACATTTTCCCACTGTCGGTTTCATGGGCTTCTGTGAACCCTCAAAAAACCAAAATAAACACTCTCAAACGGACGTAGCTCCAGTGTGCGAACCCCCCCTTCATTGAGGGCAGCACATCACCTTAATACTTCTGCTACCACAAATACCACGAAGTTGCCTAAAATTCTTCTAATTCAATCTCATCTTCATTTCCTCCTCTTTCCCAACCTCAGTAATACCATACCATTCATAAGCATACTAACCCGTTACAAACGTTTTCTGTCAAATTAATATAAGGTTCCAATCTAAAAATTTAACAATGAATAACTCGGCAACAGGAGACACTGAAATAATAAGCAGGAAAATAAGCAAAAATATGCAAGTAGTTCTCAGAAAATAAAGAAAGAGTACAACATTAATGACACCCTCTGGCTTAAATTGATCTACCTACCACAAATCTTATTTTTAGAAATGAAAAGAAACTCTACGGAAATAAGATTTAAAGGAAAATTTAAAAGGTAAACCCCTTCAAAATTTGCAATTTGAGATACGCGAAAGGTAGACAGATTACGGAAAAAAAAAAAAATTAGAAAATATAAGATAAAAAATGAGGAGGAGTTGTTTTTTCATTACGTCTCATCCAGCAATATCAGATTACATAAATCAAAAGCATGACCAATAATGAAAAATTCCAAAATTCTGAAACTAAGAGATGACAGCCTTAGCTATGCAAATATATCCAGATTCCTTAGATCTGTTAACTCACCTAGACAGCACTCCGAGCCACACCTCTCTCGGGTAAGTCGAAGACATTGATCTAGCTCCGAAGGGTGAAATAACTTCCGAAGCCTGAAATTGCAGCTCGCTCCATAGATTCCCAAGTGTTGCGGAATGCTTGGAAGTAGAATGAAACGAAAGAGAGAGGGAAAAGCGACTACAGAGCTTGCTGAGCTGGGAGAGAATACATTCTCTCTAAATCGCGTAAATTAACGCCGTCAGGTAACAATTAACGGAACTTTCAGTTAAAGTTCTGCATTTAAAACATGAAATGACGTGTTAAAATAATAACCGTTGATTATTCATTAATTGACTTGATCACCCCATCTAACCAACTTTATGAAGCCTGGTTGTCTGACAAGTCTCTGTATTTCATTATTCCAGAAAACGACAAAGTGATATACTGACGAAAATATGTACGTTACTTCTCTTTTCCATTTTTTGTGGGTCCAGTCAAACCTAATCACACAAATTTTATCCAATATAATAATGTCTTACATGTGACTTTGTTCTTGGAGTTTGTCTTGAATCTTCTATACAATAAGCTCGTGCTATTATGTTTTTTTTCTTTTTTTTTTGCTACGTAAACTTTTTTACTTTTCTCACTCTACCATGATTTATGAGTTACCAAAATAGTGTATGCATGCCAATTAATGTAACATTAATTATAATATAATTGAAAAAAAAAGTAAACTTAAATTTCAACCCCGAGACTCATAATTTAATTATTAATGTATTAATGATACTGCAGTGATTAAATTAAATTATTTTTATATTTATTAAAATAATTATAATATATAAAAGATAATGTTAATTTTAAATCATAACTTAAAATGTATAATCATATGATTTGATATTTTTATTATAAATTTAAGAATTTAAATTCGAATTATATTTTTTACCTAATCGTAAAATAAGAGAAATCATGATTTACGAATTTTTTTAAATTAAATTTATTTAGTAAATTAGTACTCGTAAAAATTTTAAAAAAATCAATTTATTTGAATTTCTTAAAAGCAAACCTACAATAATTGTTGTTGTAAAAATTTCAATCATAAAGATAAATGATTTGAACTTGTATAGTTTATATACATGAATATTTACAAAAAGTGGTATCTCCGTTAAAAAGTAGACACGTGCTAACATTCATATGATAATCAATATAATTTCTACATAATAAATAAAGAATAATAAAAGTGACATATATAAACTCAATGATAAACTACAAATTTGCATTATCATATATATATATATATTTAAAATTATAATATTTAAAAGGATAAATAAACAATCAAATCATAAAAATTTATAGTTATGAATTAATTATTAAATTTAATTTTAAATTATCTTCAACGATCTATAAAATTTAAAATTATTTATAATAAATAATAAATCTTTTAAAGATATATAAATCATTAATGATTGATAATACGAAGTTTATTAAATTTATAAGTATATTATATATTCTAAGTACATTATTTTAATTAAAAAAATATAACAAGAAACTCTTATGTTAATTATTATTTAATTAAATGGTTAATAAATTATTTTTGTATAGTTCAAGTTGCTTTATATTTTTGTATATATTTTCGTTATTTTTATATATTATTTAATTGATAAATATATATTTTTTATTAAAAAAATTTATTATACAAGCAGACATTAGTAATTATAAAAAAAATTACTTTTAATATATGGAATAATAATAATATTTTATTACAGCAGTTAAAACCTTGAAAAACCCCCTACCAGCATTGTACCAGTCCCTTCCCAAATCCACTCCGTAATTATTGGCATACAATTCCTACGGTTCAGGGACCGTGAGTGGGTGTAACAGAGAGATTATGCATATGGCCGTCTCCATCACTATAAATATCTCTGCCCGCTCTGTCTATTTTCATTGCTATTATTATCTTCGTTCTTTCTTTCACATTTACACGCCCCCTAGCAGCAAATACAGAGAGAGAAAAAAAAAAGGAAGAGCTGGAAATATCCCGTTGAGTATTCTGAATATCTCATCTCTGTGTCTCTGCCTCTGCCTTCTTTTGCCAAAAGCAAAAGAAAAAAGGTTTTGATTCTTCATACTTGAGTCGCCAGAGCTTTTCCGAGTACTTCCTGGAAAAACATGAGTTCGGCGAGTGAAGTCACGGCTCCTATTCGTCGAGTTCTTCTCATCTCTGCTGGTGCCAGTCACTCTGTTGCTCTTCTTTGTACGCTCTGGTTTCATCTCTACTTTTTTTTTTTTCTCTTTTCCTTCTTGTTTTCTTCTGCCTCTTTATTTCTGTTTCTTTTCTTTCAGATAAAACCTTTCTTCAACTGAGCTGATACTGTAGATTTCTTCATTTCGTATTATTTTGCTAATTGACTTCATAATTGTTTGCATGTCCACTTCTCGCTGCATTGTTACAATTTTGATCGTTTACTTATTAGCTGTAATTTTCTCCGCATCAATCATGCTCTGTTTCTGTTTACATCATCCCTTTCTTTCTGTATACCTTCTCTGTAATTACACAGTTGGTGAATTTTGGGTTTTGAGTGATTGTTTGCCACCTTATGCGTTGGATAGTTGATTCTCTTCTTGATTTTAGGTCTTTTTTCTTTTTCTGCGAATATTCCTTTCCTTCACGAGAGTGTTCACCTCACTTCTATCAGTTTCTGTTCTTGAGTTTTAATAATTCTGTGCAGACAACAGACATTTTACAGAGCTCAAAAGCCAAGATATATGTATATATATAATATTATGCTGATTAAATAAATTTGTTGTCTTTTGCATATTATTGAAAGATGAAAAGCTATCAGCTAGAGTATGGAAACAACTGGATCTAAGGTTACTCATGATGTTACATTATGATGCTCTTGTCACTGTTTTTTTTGTTGTTGTTTGTGCTGACGTCACCTTCAGGAGCTCCGATTATTGATTCAGTCTTCCTCTTAGGATTGTGTAGAATGCTATGCTAGTTTATTGGATGCTAAATTTGTTTTACAGGTTTATATGCAGTGACCACCTTTTACTTTCTGACTAATATAATTATGTTATTCAAGTTGTGTTAATTACACATTTGTAGATTCATTTCCTACCACCGAGATCTCAGATCCTAACGTTAATCATTATCAGTCTTCTAGAACTTGAAGAACATGTCTATAACGATTTCTAATGAGTCTATTTGTTGATTATGCTTCAATATTGTTAAGGACCATTTTAGAATTCCATTGTCATTGGTTGTCTTGCTGAAGAAGGATCCTGTAAATGATGATCCAGTATGGTTGCACCCTTTTCTTTGCGAACTGAGTGCGTTATTAAGTTAAGCTAAATCTCTTGAGCTAGTCAGCAGGATTTTTTTGCCGAATAAAGAAAACAAATCAGTAAAAAAGGATAGTTGTTAGCACCTATTTTCCGATATCAGCAGTTGATGCATTAATATCCCTACACCACCTGTCCAGTCCTGTGTTGAAAGATAATCCTTCTTGTTCTGTTTAGATTATCTACATATCACTATGAAATACTCAGATCTTGTGGGATTGGTAGATCCTTGAAACTTTAGCATAGTCTTATGTCTTTAGATAGCTTCTCTGCATCTTATTTTGTCCGTTATAATTGTTCTCTTTTCATTAATTATCTACTTTTTTACTGTTTATTTGGATTATATGTCCAACATCTTCAAAACTTTATCCATATTTCTGTATTTATATCTAACATTTCTAAATTTACAGCTGGAAATATTGTTTGCTCATGGGGGAGAGGAGAGGATGGCCAGTTAGGCCATGGAGATGCTGAAGATCGGCTTTCTCCTACAAAATTGAGTGCACTAGATGGTCATGAAATAGTTTCTGTTACCTGTGGAGCTGATCATACAATAGCATTCTCCGATAAACATATGGAGGTTTATAGCTGGGGATGGTCTGTTCTTATTTCACTCTTCTTCCGAAATTTTATTTGTTAAACTATTGAAATGCTTATTCTTGTTTTGCCCTTTGAAAACATTGTTGTGGCCATTAAAAAAAAAAGAGAAAGCATCGTTTGCAAAGAAATTTGCTGAATTTGTCATATATTTCCTCTGTTAAGAAGAAATTCTTTTGTGTTTTTTGGCCACATCTTGATCAAGGATAATGAATAAAAAATAGGTAAGAATATCCTTTTTTTTTAAACTCTCTGAATTGGATGAATTAGTTCAATCCTAGGACACCTTTTTCATTGTTAGTTTCAGCTGATTCAGAGCATACATTTTTCACCCTCATAATCAACTTGAGAGTTCACTGAAAACATAGCAGCTTTATATTTGCTATTTTCTCCCATACCTTTCTTTTTTTGCCCTCGTTTTAGATCTTTGCATGCACGCCATTGATGTCCTCAAAACTATGTAGAATTGGTAGCCTGCTGGAGATGAATTTGAAATGACTGCTTCTTGTTTCATCAACTTCAACTACTGTTAGCTGTTTGCATAGGCAGGTTAGTTTTGATCAAAAGAAATTGGTAAGCATTTGAAATAAAATTACCAGATTTGTCTCCTACAACTGAACTGAATGAAAGCATCAGTTGAAGTTTAAAAGTAACAGCATGTTACTGCAGCTGACTTTTACTTGTAAAATAGCCAAACAGAAAGTTAAAGTTTCCATTAGATGAATATGTTTGTGTGGAGAACGATGCCAGCATAATTAGCATGCATTCAATTGTTCATTTAGGAAGAGATTCTTAATCAACATACTCAACTTAGGAAATGCTAATTATGCCGGCATCACTCTCCCCATAAACATACTCATCCGAAGCAACAACATATGCAACTTAGGAAATGCAGCTTATGATTCGAGAGTATTGTGTCAGAAGGATTTAGTTAAGATGCTGTCAAAGTGAATGGTTTGGAACAGAACAATTTTATGCCCTTCTTGGCACCTATAGTGTCAGAAAAATATTAGATCAGACAAGCTTACATAGCTTGAAGTGGTTTTCCATATCACTGGCAACTATAAAGGATTACTTTTAGTTGTTTTTGTTGGGAAATCGATCCCTAACTCATGCACAATCATAAACAAAAATAAAGGCAGAAAAGAAAATAACACAGAATTTTACGTAATTCGGCAATGTGCCTATCAATGGGTAAAACTAGTAAGAAAATATTCCATTATGATCAAAAGATATTACTTCACCCATAGGTTAGCAAACTTATATATAGAGGCTATTAGGGTTCTTTACGTTCTTAAAATATACATAAAATTAATTATTAAAATAATTACAAAAGCACCCTCGTGATTAAAATTATCAGAATTTAAGTCACATCAATAGTTTTCTTGTAATTTTGTCAAGTGCACCATTTTATAAGACAAAATGTAGGCCAATAAATATTAACATTGTTTGTTTCATATTTGAAAATTTTGGGAAATTTACAGGCTTCTGCTACCTGTTTGTAATATGGCTGATTGTTCAATTTGGTTATTTTGTTACTTCTTCATTTTGATTTTCGAAGAAACCATATCTTTAAGCTGTTTGTTTCCTTCTGCTAATTCTTCAGGGGTGATTTTGGGAGGTTGGGTCATGGCAACTCTAGTGACTTGTTCACTCCTCAACCAATCAAAGCACTAAATGGTCTACCGATAAAGCAAATTGCTTGTGGGGATAGCCACTGTTTGGCAGTGAGCATGGAAGGCGAGGTGCAAAGGTGTCTTTGGGAAACTTTTACATCATGTTCCACATAAATTTTATCAATGCTTCAATATGCTGTTTAGAAATGTCTTATTAAAAATTTGCCCACCGGCTTTTATTAATTTGCAAATTCTTCCTCAGCCAGTTAAAAGGATGAAATTGGCTGATATTATGACCATACTTGGTAGTATAGATATCATTATGGGATAAGTTAATCATTAAATGATAATTGATACAATAGAAGTACAATATATCAATTCTTTTTTCTCAAGTTCTCATTACATAATCATGTGAATATCTCTGCATATCATGAAGGTCACTTGCTATAGGGAGTTCACCTCCTAGACACTGGTATCAGTAAGCATCTTCTATTAAGGGACTTTTGTGGAGAAACTCTCACTTTCCTTCCTGCTTTACGCTAAAGCAAGTCTTCTTGGTCTAATTGATAATAACTAGGGGATATCTCATACTGAATTATATTTCTAGCTTGTGATTTTTCCTTATCATAATTCTACTCTCTTGCAACATACCTTTAGTAAGGGACCTTCAACTCCTTGTCCCCTACTTCTTGAGATTACATATTTCTCTTGTTACTGCCCATGCCAGATTTTATCATTCTGTATTTCATCTTTTACAAAATAGTGATTGTATTATTCAGCACTCATTATCCTACTCAATATTTTTTTTGGTGCAGAGGAAGCCATATTGTATTATCTTACACCACTTTTTATTTTAAAAAAAGTTTTATCTTACACAGCTCAAAATCCAAGATGTGTGTGTGTGTGTATGTGTGTGTATATATATATGCATAGGTTTTTTTTCTTTTCTTTTTTTAATAAAAAGTCAAAAGATGTGCAAAAGATTTGGATAATAGAGAATTCTAGTTTGGATTCTTCCTTTAGGAAAAAGAGTGGATCTGCAGGGGTCCCAAATGAATTGGCTTATTCGAAAAAAAGCCTTGTTCTTTGGGAAGATCTATCTCGTGTCTGGTACTGCACGATTTCCACTCTGCAAGAACTCCGAAATCATTCGCTTGAAGCTCATCCCTTTTCATCATAAATGATCCACTTGCCCCGAAATGACCTGGCCCGCACAGAAAACAGTGCTTCACCCTAGATGTTCCAGTCAACTGCTGCACCTCAACGCATTTCGGGAGAACCAGCTAGCTCTGTGTTCGAGTGGCATTGACCCCTAACCACAACTCATCCGCTGATTCTTCAACATCAGTCGGTTCGGACCTCCACTTAGTTTCACCCAAACTTCATCCTGGTCATGGATAGATCACCCAGGTTCGGGTCTGGCGAATCAAATATCATGGTCTAATTCTAATAAGGAATCATTCTGATTAGTTGATACTATTACTTAATAATTTTGTGAAAGATTCCTGTGAAAAAGTTTCATGCAATATGATAAAATCTTTGGAATTAACTTCGGGATTTAAGCACATAGACAGGACATGAAAACTGTGATAATATTCTATGAAAAGTCTCTCTTTTCATCTCTTGTTGGAACTCCCAGGTTTGACTCTGCCCTTAATCCTGGGGAAGACAGTGCAAAGCTGAAATCAAGTGTAAAGCAGCAAGTTGAATAATGAGGTGCCTTATGTAAATATAAATTTCAATGATGTCCCCAAGGAATAAAAGTGGAGGAAAAGACATTAATTTCCATATGGCATGTGAAAAAGAGTGTTGTTATGATGTCTGAAATATATTGCTCTACATTTGTTTACTATAAATATTTATTTTTAAAAAAAGTTTACTGCAAATACAATATGCTTTATCAAGAATGAATGTGCTGTGCCAATATAAATCTTAGAAGCATATATGCTCTTGGATATAGGTTCTTACAGTCAACCAATCCTTTTATTCTTGTTGAATTTCAATCCTTTTGAAATCAATTGTATGTTCTAAACTTTAGACTTGGAGTCAACTAAACCAAAACTTATAAGGATCATTCTTGACAGTGTTGTGGTATTGTGTTCTGAATCCTTACTGCCAAAGATCTTATAATGCAGTAATACAAGAAAATTCCAATTTAACCTCATCGCATCATGCATAATACTGCATTATGATTCACGTGAAATTGCTTCCAGGTTTGGAGCCAAACTGTTGTTGCAACTGGTGGATGGTTTTCTATTGACATGTGTTACTGCATCTGTTTTCCAATTCTAACCAAGCATAGTGAAAATGTTTGATTTTAGTGAACACGGTTTACTGATCCTTTTTTTTTTCCTTATTTGCACTTAAGCTGGGGGCGGAATCAAAATGGTCAACTTGGTCTTGGCACAACAGAGGACTCTCTGGTGCCTCAAAAAATTCAAGCCTTTCAGGTACCATCAAAGCACTTCAGTTAATTCAAGCTAAAGGCCCCACTTTGCTTTTTTTTTTTTTTTATAAAAAAAATTATGGTTTTTCTCTTTGGTGTTCAAAAGATGATTTCAATGAGTTCCAATAGATTCTAATCTTTTAACCTTGATGGATGATATTTCCATCATTAGGTTGTGAACCTGTTGGAATGAGAATGTAACCCTTGAATTGCCCTGCAGAATGTGCTCATCTATGTCAGATAACTTCACTATCTAGTTTCTGTTTAATTGATTTTTCTGCTATGCACAATAGCATGCCAACAAGGAAAGAAGAAGAGGGGAGATTGATACCCTGAAAGTACATACTTGAAAATCTGAGAGGTTTCTTATTCTTTCATTTTCTACACTCTAAGAAAGAAAAAAAGTTTTGTTAAAAGCAATTGAAAATCATTAAGAGAGGAAATCCCCAACAGTGCACATGACTTCATTTTTCATGTCCATAAATTGGAGACTGTAACTAAAGTTCCATAACCCAAGGAAACCAATTCCTTGATGAAAATAAAGTCCTTTCATGAAGAGTTTCATATGAAGTTGTTCCTATAGGATTTATCTCAAAAAAAATTATCTCAAAAAAGCTTTTCCTATAGGATATTGTTTGAAATAGTTTTTGCACTTAGATTCTTGTCTTTTGTAGGGAATACGAATCAAGATGGTTGCTGCTGGTGCTGAACATACTGCAGCTGTTACGGAAGATGGAGAGCTTTATGGATGGGGCTGGGGGAGATATGGAAACTTGGGTTTAGGTGACAGAAACGATCGCTTAATTCCTGAGAAAGTTTCTGCAACTGATGTATGTCAACAGGCTTATATTATTTACTTGTTGCTAGTTATTAGTAACTTAATCTAGCATATACATAAAACATATGAACGCATATACCATTGGTAATAACTCAGAGAGGAACCTTTTAATTTTCAACTGTTTGATACATGGACAGAATATGATGTGAATAATATGGTAGACTGTTAATTTAAAAGTTTGCTTAATCAGCTAAGGAGGAAGAGCGGATGTCTAACTTTCAAATAAATGCTATCTCTTACTTGAATGGAATGTTTGGGATGAAATTTCTGAAAGGAAGCCTTCATTTTTTTTTTCTTATCAGTCCATAAACTAATAAAATCTAGGTTTCAGCTCTACATCATTTTGTACACAGTTTAACATTTTTTTTCTTCTTGTTCTTCATGTTTCTGCAAAGTTAGTCATTTAACTCAGTTTCAGGGAGAGAAAATGGTTATGGTGGCCTGTGGGTGGCGACATACAATATCTGTTTCATCTTCGGGTGGATTGTACACTTATGGGTGGAGCAAATATGGTCAACTAGGGCATGGTGACTTCGAGGACCATCTTGTTCCTCATAAGCTTGAAGCTTTGAGTAAGAGTTTTATTTCTCAGGTATTCTCTGTCCTTCCTTTTCATAGTCATGGAGGCAAGACATTGAAAATTACAGAAGAAACTATGAAAAAAGTTTAATATATACTGCACTGACTTTGAATTGATTTTTTCAAATCAAATTTCTAAATGTACATTCTTAGAAAGACTGAATTAAAACTGAGCCAGATAAAGATTTGGTACATCTTTAAATTGTAAACAACTCCTTAGGTTGACATAGGTTTAGGCAGTCCCCATACTTTATCCTCTGAACGGGATAGACAAATTAGTTAGCCAGTTGGTTAGAGATGGCTTCAATACACATTAACTTGAGATGAATGCAATTGGGATTATAGCTGGCAATTTTTCTTCCAAAGAAAGAAAGTCTAAAGGAAGGTGTTTCAGCCAAGTCTTAAGGCACGTTGCATATGTTTTTTATGTTATTAGAAATATCACTGTTTGCATAATCTGGATAAGTGACAACATAATCAAAGTCACAAACCTCCAGAGGTTATTTTGTTGCTGTTTAAGTTCCAATGTGGTAGACATTGTATCTTCTTTTTTTATTTTTTCTTCTTTAAAATATAGAACAGTTGTTGTGACTTAATGATACAACTAAGTTGTATCTGCAATTGGGAGAGCTATTGGGAGAAGAGACTTGATGAGTAAAGAAGGGAGGAATAGAGAAGACTAGAGATAGAAGAGAAACCAAAGGAACTGTTATTTATTCAGAGCTAAGCATTTTTACATCCTCTTTTCTTATTTAGACACTTCATTCCTTAGATGTGGATGTGGTAACATATTTTGTTATCAGTGACAATCAATCAACTAATTCCATTCTTAACTACTTCCCAGTAGTTAAACTGTTAATTTCCAGAATAACTTTTCTCAGTGAGTATTGACTTCATTGATGATTGTGAATTTATGCAAGAGATACAGGGAAGTTAAAGATAAAATCTGCAAAATTTTTACAAGATATCAACATGTTAATGTATTATATCGTCTTCCCCAATCTATGTGTGGGAGCAAGCAAGTTGACTCCCTGTAAGTGAAAACATCTCAGGTAAGACCTCGGATGAAGATGTCTGCCATAGTGAATCAGTTGTATCAATTGAGCCTTTTCATGGATATAGTGTATATCCAGCTAAACTGTTTAGGACAAGCATGTTGGACTAGATTCAGAGCCATGTAATTAACACTTATATTACCACACTAAAGAGTAGGTTTAGCCTCTAAGAGAACATGTAGTTCGTGAAACAAATTCTGAATCCAAGTTAAAGCATGCTGTTCGAATCTAATCCGGTGCAGTTTTTTTTATTAAAGTATGCATTTGGGTTGGATCAGGTTCAAATTGGCATGAAAAGAGGGGCAGATCTAGGTGGATTTAGTTTTGACATTCTAAACCTATCCAAGCCTGATACACTATGTATATATTTTTATTTTTTATTATTATAAATATATTTGTATTATATTAATAAATATAAAATATTATATTAGTAAATATAATTATAATTATAATTAGATATATTAATAAATATATTTTTTATTTATATTAACAAATGTATTTTTAGTTTTTCGTAATATTAATATAATTATATCTATATTAATATAATAAAATGACCAGATTAGATTTGGAACGGGATAAATAGCAAACTCTACATAGTCTAAAAAAATTTTAAAAAATAAACTCGCCTGGATTTAGGACGTGCTTGGATTTATTTTTTACAGGGGAGGGTCAGATTCGGATTTTGTAAAACCTTGAACCGACCTCATTGCCATCCCTAATTAAAGTCGGTAGCTTTTTTCAGAAGATGTTGAATTCCAAGAATTTTCTATTAGCTCTTTCAATATTCTTGAAATATAGCCTCGTGTTTTTTGTTTTACCATTTCTTCTTGGCGAGTTAAACCATCTCGTGGTCATTGTTGTTTTCTACCATGGATTTCAAATGCTCTTGATGGATTCCTCCAGTCAGTTGATATCTTGGCAACATCTGTCTTCTGATACAACCATTTATTTTCCTGTTGCAAGGTTTTTCTTTTTGACTTAGAGATAATATTGGTAGAAGGAAGGAGAAAGGGAGAGATACAGAGACAGATATAAAGGAGAAACAGTAGAGAAGGGGACAGAGAAGGAAATAAGAAGGGGAGAGAGGCTATAATACCACTTGATACAACTAAGTTTTATCTGTAATTAGGTCAGCTATTAAGAGAAGAGAAAGATGGGAAAGGAAAGGGGGATTAGGGAAAACTAGAAATGGAAGAGAGAACAGATGTACTGATATTCGGTCATAGCCAAGCATCTTTACATCCTTTTACTCTTACTTATATACCTCATTCCTTAAATTTGGTAATTGATTCTGTTATCAGTTACAATTGATTTACTAGTTCAGTACTCAACTACTTCCAAGTAGTTAAAGAAGTTAAAGGTCAACGATTTTAGCTTTCCCATGTATCACTTCAATAACTCAGTGCTATTCATAATGTAACCTGAGAAAAGAGTGGGGAGGGGACTGAGCGTGCCCATACCTTTATGCATCACATACATCTAAGCATGAACAACATTTACTTAGCTTAGTGCAGGGAATTCCTATCTCAGCCCTAGGTTGATAATTGCCTGATTCCTTGCATGTTCTATAAATATTAGAAGAATAATTGATGTCCATTTTTATTGGATATGATTGAATTGATTTTCATTCTTCCTGGTTTCATCAACTTTTCTTTCTGCTGAGTTTTTCAGATTGCTGGGGGTTGGAGACACACTATGGCGCTCACGTCTGATGGAAAACTTTATGGCTGGGGATGGAACAAGGTTGTGATCTTCAGTGCCTTTTTCATTTCAACTGACCATGTAAAATGTTGTGCTGAAAATTTGGTTTCCAGCGAATTATGGGTGCCAAAAGTTACTTGCAGGTTAAGAACAGAAATTTATGCCACATGATGTGATTCTTTAGGTTCTCCCCATTAATATAAACACCCTTGAGACAAAGATTCACTCATATTCACATAGTCAACCTAATAATTGATAATGGACCCATATACATATGTAAAAAATGTATATACCTGGTGTATTGAATGATTTGAACATTCCTTTTGTCATGTTCTTTTACTCACATACTAGTGAAAGCACATGGCTAAAACATGCATTTGCATTACAGATGTACACGTGCATATCATATTGTAGGATAATTTTTCATTTGATTATTTTAAGATGTTAATTTTCCAGGTTATCTATATCTCCTGATAAATCATGATTTTGCATGATTTATAAAGTCCCTTACGTGTAGATAAGTAATTTCTTTTAATAATGTGTGCTTCTTATTTTTGTATCTTTGAATTACAGTTTGGACAGGTTGGAGTTGGAGATGATGTCGATCATTGCTCTCCTGTGCAAGTTAAATTTCCCCATGACCAGGCACATTCTTGTTACTGTAGCTCCCAAAAAAGTTGGATAAGCCCATGAAATTGATATTCAGTTCTGTAGGGATTTTCTTCTTTTGACTAACAGAGGGCAGTTTTTATGTCTAATAATTACCGGGTTTCTGAGCCTGACTATTTCTTTTATTTTTATATTGTATTTGCCACTCGGAAGAAAGTAGCACAGATCTCATGTGGATGGAGGCATACTGTGGCTGTTACTGAACAACAAAATGTATTTTCTTGGGGAAGAGGTACAAATGGACAGCTTGGGCATGGGGAATCTATTGACAGGTACTTATATCACATTCAGGGATATGAAACATATTCTGCCATCTTCTTTTTAGTTTTCAATTGCTAATACGTTCAGCCTTTCTGGGCATGGGGAGTTATTGACAGGTACTCATGTCACATTCAGGGATCTGAAGTATATTTTGCCATCTTCTTTTTACCATTCAATTGCTAATATTTTCACTAAAGGCTGAAACTAATAATGTGTAAAATGAGCTGATCTTGAGTCTTGATACAGCCAAGGATTTTATTTGTATGATCAATTTAAGTAGATGAAGGGCAAGGAAGGTCACCAGAAATATAATGACCAAGATCGTATCCAAACAGTAGAGGGTTGAACCGAGCTTACCAAGATGGGTAGTCGATGGCTGTATATTTCAGCCAAGGTTGGATGCAACATTTATAGAGATGAGAATACCAGTAATGTTTAGGAGAACTGTTTGGCTGGCTATTGTGGATGTAGAGTGCTTATGTAGGCATTGGAGTTCGTATAATTCGTTTCTAAGTTTGCAAAGTCAACCCAAAGTATTAGTTGTGATCACAGCTAAACTGAAATAGAGCCGTTTAATAATTTTGTCATCATTCCAAAATCTAAAACCAACCTTTTAATCCAGATGTCATAGACAGTTATTTTAATGCATTATTGATATGAACTTCTAAAGTTATTTTAAGGTTTTTGTTTCTTTAGTTGATCATGCTCTAACACACTTGTTTTGGATGTTGAAGAAATACTCCAAAGATAATAGAAGCTTTGAGTGTAGATGGATCTAGTGGGCAGCAAATAGAATCCTCAAAGATCGATCCAACATCAGGTGCTCTATTCTCCTCCCAGATTTGTTCCCAAGACTAATAGAAGAATTCTATTGTTGATATAGCTCACTTTTATTCTGACATATTTCCTTGAGAATAACTGAAGAAGCATTGATTGATATTTCTCATTTTTCTGATTATATCTATGTTTTGTTGGTAGGGAGAACCTGGATCTCACCATCTGAGAGATATGCAGTTGTTCCTGATGAAAGAGTAAGTAATTGTTTTTTAAAACTTTACCAATCAAAATTTGGAAATTTTTAAATGATTCTATATTCATGAATCTGAATTTAAATGAGGTTGACGTGACAGTTGTCAAATGTCTTGGAATGGTTGAAAATAACCTGTAAAGAATGAAGAACTGGTGACCTTAGTTTCTGACAGATCATCTGATGCATAAGTTAGAAAGTTTCTGAGAGAGAAATGAAAAGAGAGCTTGTCTTAGTATTATTACAAAAATGAGCCCATAACTATATGGTGCCACAAATAATTAGTGGTGTTGGTTAAGAAGGTTGGAGTTACATAATAATTACATGCCTATAATTAGCCTAATTATTGTTGGAGTTACAATTGTAATTATCACATATTTAGTCTAGTTATTGTGGGAGTTACAATTGTAGTTATTGTGTTGTAATTTATCATTGATTTCTTTGTCTATAAATACCAAATAAACTCTTCTTTGTAGACATCAAGAGTTGTAATCATATATTTCAGAATTGAGTTAAGAGTGTTTTGGCTTTTTTTCATTTTATACACAAGGTGTTGATTTGGAACACAATTGTTATAACTATTTTAATTTTGATTTTCTATTTCAATTGTTCTTAATGTTTGTTTCGATTGGATTCAAGGGGTATTATTTATGTTTTTTGGGTTCTATTTAACTTCTACCATTTGGGTGATTGAACAAATTTGATTCTTTTTTACTTGTGATCTAAATCGATTGAAGAGTTCTAAGGTTCAAATAAGGGTCTAAGGATTCCGCATCATTTATTCCTGGAGGTAACTTCCGAAGCCATGCCCAATGTCACTTCGAAGGTGTTTGCAAGCTCATTGGCTTTAGTTATCTTATGTTCTTTGAGATGTTGGCCACCTATGAGGTGTTAGGTACTCTTTCACCTCTTAAGGGTTAGTTACCCTGTTGTATCATGGGTTTCAATCATCTCCAAATTAATAGTATAGCTTGTCATCCTCGAGATTTTTTTACCCTGTCAATTCTCAGGTATTCTCGTCTCTAAAGTACCAGGTTCTTATCGCTCAAGTGTTGGTCAATTCTAATGTATTAGCCATGATGAAGTCAAGCCTCTACCCTGAATCCAACAATGTCTTTTACTGGAAAGAAATCCATATGAGAGGATAATGGAAAAAAGACAACTTTTATTGGATAAACATAGTAGTGCATGAGGAGAATTAAGAAAATACAATAAGAAATATTAGAATTTCTTCTTGTCTGATTTTTTAAGAGTTGTCTCAATCTTTAGTGGGTCACAGTTATTACTGGGAGTGCAAGGTCTCTCCTAGTGTGCCTCATCAAATTTGTGTCTGCCACCACTTTTCCTACTTCTTCCTCCCGAGTTACACCTCTCTGATATATACCTTATACACAAGCTAGCTCTTTGCACTCATCTTTGTCCTGTCTGGGGCTATTATGAAAAGCATAGTATCTAGAGTTGTCCAGTTTCTTAGTCTTAGTTTTGAGGGATGGAGGCCTTTTATTATTATATAATTCCATTAGAATATGTGAGAGTTGTGTATTTAGTGGAGTATCACCAATGCTTGGTCAAGCCCCTAGGCCCCAGCTTGTCATGGCCTAGCCTGTCTTGCCTTACTTGCTTGTCTTCATTATTTTGCTTGGTGTCTTGCCTTCCTGATCTCTAGATCTCTTTTCTTAGGTGTCTCTCCTTATCTCTTGCAGCCATGGCCTACTCAATATTCAAACATTTTTTTGCCTTGGTGAACGGCTCCAGTAAAGTCTTGAGAGAGATCTTAGAAACTTAAAGATAGAAATCATTGTTATTGACCCGATTAGAGATGTCTGAGATTATCATGCCTTCATCCAGCTTGCGTACCGTTGCCAACTTAGTTCGAAAGTTGGTGAATCCCATAGGCTCTCCTCTCTCTTCTATGGCTTATTGAACTTCTTGTCATTGATGAAGCGAGGTAAAAATAGGTCAACTAGCTGCTTGAAGCTATTTTTACCCTTGGAATTGAGGGTTTAGAACAACTCCTTTGCCCCGTTGAGTAGCAAAATGAAGCCCTGTGCAGCATTGCCTTTGTTGCCTGTAGAACTCCAGTTTGTTCCTAGATTAATGAGATGGTTTGCTGGGTCCTGGGTATTGTCTTATTGTCAAGCTTTGCAGCAACTTGAACTTTGCTGGTATAGGTTCCTCTTGAATTTCATGGGAGAAGGGGATTCAATAATGTAGGCAGGAGAGTTTTCCTTGAGGACATTGGTTTTGAGCTTCTCCAGTATCCGAGTCTGTGAGGTTCTTATCAGTCATCCTCATCACAGGTTTGCTTTTTTCCTTGTTAAACCACTTGTATCAACTTTGAACCTCCTTAGAATGTTTTGGCCTCTTCCATTGTTTGGCATCCATTTCTAAACATTATTGCTTGCTCTTCAGCAAATCTTGCTCAAGGTCCTATCTCTCCAGGGCACAGGGGAATCAATTTTTCTTACTTGGCAGCACGGTTGCTCATAGGTTCATTTAAGTAACATCATGTTGGTTTACTAGTGGCTGGACCAATTTCCTCAACTCCTTAAGCTGGTCATGTTTTGGTTTCTCTGTTAGTTGAGGCTTGTGGATCCATCATCTTTTACCTGAGTACCTTTTTGAGGTACTTGACTAGCTGGCTTATCCGTATGTGAGTGCTGGCTCTAGAGCTCTTTCCTTGCCATTCTCACATGCTTCCCTTTCCTGCCATTATAATCTTCTTATCATTCCCATAGACATCGGATGATATATTCAAAAATTGTAGGAGCCTAAGATACTAGTTTTCTTGGAACAGTCAAAATAAAATGCAAACAATGAACAGACATGGCCCACATGATTGTTTATGAGAGATTGATTCTTAAGTCAGTGAAGATTTGAGAGGGTAAAATAAAAGGGATAGAGTTTTAAAGGATTTTTTAGGGAACAAAATGTTTAACTTGAACATTAACTCTGCATGGTTTTGGTTGAAATGTCAATTAGTCTTCCTTGGTTGTAAAAAGTTGTTTTGAATTCCATTTTCAAAAGTCATTTATGTTTATACATAAAAGAACATATGTAGCTGTTGAAAATAAAAGCAAGGTTAGAAAAATGATAGGGAAACTAGAAGACAATCTAAAAACAGTTTTTTATTCTTTTCGAACTCATATCATATTTTACTATATGTTTTAATCTTATTTTTATTTTCAATGGCTATTTATATATATTTGTGTTCAAAAGCAAATGAACTTAGAGGATAAGAACTCAATCCAGTCTTCTATAATTAAGTAGTGTCTTAGGTTTCCTTGATTTTTCCTGCTTTCATCTATTGCTTCGAAGGAAACACATATTTTATTGGCAACTATGTATCCAAGGTTATTTACAAATAAATTCTAAATAGTTCCATCAGTAATGATGGAATTCTATAAAACTGCTGATGAACAAGTGCTTTATTCTGGTGCAGGGGCAATCTGATATTTCAGTTGGTGGCAATGGGAATGATGCGAATGTACCTGAAAATGATGTGAAACGAATAAAGGTTTGATATACACGACTCAGATGTGAGAGGAGTAACATATTCTGGCCTCTGACCATCAAGCTTGTATTGAGTTAGGCAGGTCTTGTTCTTATTTTCAATAGGTCCGAATCCTTCTATTGTAAATTCGTGAAACTTGTTGGAAAAGTAGGCATGGGCTAGGGATTGGGTGTTGAGAAGGAGAACGCTTATAATCTTATTCTATGTGAAGATGGAATCCATCAGGCACTACTAACTATTCCTGATAACAACTTTTATGCTGTGCTATGTCTTGTGATCTTGTATTATTAGTTGTAGAAGGGAATAAGGGGGTTATGTTCATGGAATGATAATCCATTGAGAAGGGAGATAATTACCCTTTTTCTTTTCCGGTGCCTAACATGTTATTGTGTTCTCAATCAAATGCACCGTGCTCTATGATTTCTTGGCTTTATGGTATGTGGGAAACAGTAATACGTGGGCAGATTTATAGATAGAATACAGAGTGCAGGGAGAAAGAAACACAGAGGAAGACCATCGAAAGAGTGTTTCTGTTCATGCATGTCTGATTGGTCACAATTCCAGGTATTGTAGTTTCATAATCTTCAACTAATTCGGTTGTTATTAACAACCTCAGTTAATTCTTTCAAATTACATTGATTAGCGGTAATACTACTGTTTCCCACATATCATTTAGCTCTAGAAAACGTGCCTTAACATCAAAACATTGCCTGCTAAAAAATCTTGATCACTGGTACTGCAATTGCGTTCTATGTGCTAGACAAGAAAAATATGACACTAAGAACGATTTTCAAATTTGCTTTCTGAAACTTTTCATTCAATAATACTTTGTTCAGCATCCATGGCAATAATGAGCAGTTTACATGTACGTGTTTGCATAATATATATATATATATATACACACACACAAGTGGATTCTGTCCTGAGAGTGCTCCATTATGGTGTTTGCTCGCTGATTGACTTGGCGATAGTATGTGAATCCATTATGAAATGCTTGTACATGAACTGATAATTGTTCTCCATTATGATTTTATGACATTAGGATGAGAGATGAATGGAAATTGGCAGGAGATCGTAAAAAAGCTAGTCACTAGATTACACCTATTCACAGCAGAAAACAAAAATAATTTAAAAGGGATCGATGTTTATCAGAAGTGAATTAATGCGTATGGATATGCCATCATGTAGGTTTCTAGCCACCAGCTATAGCCGTACGTATTTGCAGCCAGCCATCACTTTGCATTCAGCATTATTAGGCGATGCAGAAGTAGTAGGGAAAAATAAAGAAATAATAAGATCTAATGTTTCTTTCTAGTTAGAGTTCTAGTTCTATTATGACATTTATTAATTAGTTAATTGTTTATTTAGTAGAATGTTGGTCTTGCTTCTTAATAAATTTTTCTAGTGTTTTATTTAATTTCTCTTTGTCCTGTGTCAATACATGATTTTTTCTGATATTTAAATATTTTATAAAAAGATTTACATTCATCATTAGTACCGTCGGTTAATGAAGTAATTATTAATTACTTTAAGAATAAATAAATTAGGAAATTTCATAATTTTAAGTTTTGAGTTTTTCTTTTCCAAAAACTTAAAATCTCCACATGATCTAGTATTTCTTTCCTCCATATTTTTAGAGGCACTGCAGTAGCGACGTAATTATCAAGTTAAACCCAAATGCTTCGTGATTATTCCACCACAACCTTTTCATCTTTCTATTTTGATGATCATAACCACTGCCTATTTGATATTCCAATAGTGGTTTTCTGTTTTGTGTGTGTGTGTGTGTGTGTTAGTTTCAGTTGATAAGTGCTTTTTTCTTCTTTTTTCTTTTTTGTGTGAAATGTGAACCATCGAACATGCTCTTCAGCTCATGATTTGAACGATTGGGATCACTTTTTTTTTCCTGATATGATGCTTGATACCTTTCATCGGCTACCTAAACCTAGTAGTTTGAGACACCATTCTACTATCCTGACAAGAAGATATGCTTCGAGTCAATTTGCAATTGAAGGCTTCTTCTTTTTTGATCCTTGACACTTCTCAATGCCCCTTTTAAGTGTATTTATTTATTTATTTTTTTTGAGAATGCTCTTGATGTCAATTATGTAAATGTGAAACTAATCCTAAGCTCTTGTCGCGAGTCAGAATTTTTTGGACTGGAATCTACATAATGAATTTTGTACAGTTGCATGATTGTTGATTCAAGGATTGGATATGTGTTTACAAATAATATTTAGTTACTAGATATGAGTTAAGTTGAAAGTTTAGCAGGATAATAAATTTGTTTAACTTAGGGGCTTGATTTTAATCTACCCAAACTTAAGATTAGTACATACCATGCGAAGCTAGCTAGAGCTGAAAAAGAAAATAAGAAGGCTCAACTGAACTCTGAGTTGAACTTAAGCTTTGCAGTGTCGAAGCAATTCAAGCTAAAATAAAATGGGTAAAAAATATTTAGCTTTTTTAAAATTGTTTTTTTTTTTTTTAATCTACAAATTTAGTATTCAAGAACTACTGAAACAAACTCTCTATCTCTGTGTATACATATATATATATATATATTTAATATTTCACCATTCATCAAAGTTTCTCTCTTCAAATTGTTAGAAATCAAAATATTAAAAAATTAATTTTTTCTTTTTTTTTTAATACAAAAATTATCGAATTGGATTAGCAGTTTGGTGATTTAGTTTTATATACAAATTCGTAATCTATATAATAGTGATATATTTTTATATGAAGATTTAAACTCAAATAATAGATTACGCCTCATATTTGTACCCATCTTTTCTCATTAGAGGTTGGTTTTCATTAACATATATATATGTTAATGTCAAATGGTGTTCAAGACTAATGTAAGTTGCAATGGAGGCTAGATGTCTTAAATAGTGTATATTCAATTCACATGGAATTACAGAAAAAATCCATATGCTACCAAATTATAATATCCTTGCACAAAAATATATATATATATATAGTTGTATTTTCCAAATTATAGAAAGACTTAGCATTAACAAAGAAATAATGAAGTTGAGAAGAAATGGAGATTCATATTATGGAATACACAAAGATAAATAATTTACATCAGAATCATTCCTCTCTCTCTCTCTCTCTCTCTCACACACAGTCCCAAACAGCACTACTAAAACACCATTAAACCCAAGTTTAATTTTTTTTTTTTTTTCAAGAGAAACTTAGCATAAACTGAAACCAATATTTTTCAGGTTCCTTCTCCTGATCCAGATAAAGCTTCAAACTAACACTTGACTCTTTAGTTTTTTTTATTTATAAAATCAGTAGCTTGTCTTGAAGGGCCTGTAAACCTTTAGGTCAAGCATAACTCCTGCAATAGAACCAGCACCCGCCACAACCGAGATTACAAGACAAGCCGCACTCAACATTTGCAGACACACCCACCTCGTACTCCATTTCTCTATCTTCTTCTGCTCAATATACATCTCCACTGGAAAGTAAACTGTCAATGGCCAAAACCCGAGTGCTCCCAGAATCCCTACGACGTCGTTGAAGAACGGCAGCAACATTGATATCACCGTCGTCAAAACCACAAACCCTGTTCTCCAAACCAGTCTGAACAGATTCAGTTTATATGTTCCACAGCCTGGGATTAATGGGAATTTCAATTCTTTCGTGATAAAATAGTTTTCTGCCCATTTTTCTCCTGCCCATTTCTCCACGAAGGCGAAAATCGGCTGGCAGAAAACTTGATATGCTCCGACGAGGTGGACGATAATGGCGGCATTGGCTATGTCGAGGATCCAAAATGGGTTGTAGAAACCAAAACCAGTGAGGAGATTTCCTGGTGCGAAGTCGCCAAAAGCTGCATATCCCATACACCCACAAAGCATGTAGAAAGCTGTTGTTACCGCAATGCTTATTTTTGTTGCTTTCTTCATCGTCTTTGATTCTGCTGGTGGGCTTCTGATTGTGTCCTGCAACAAATCATTTTGATCAGTTCTCCAGTTTAACTCATTTTCTTCATGAATCATTTAGCATAAACAAATTAACACATATATATATAGTACATACATACCTGAATCTCGATGAGAACAACGGAAAATGAGTAGGCGAAGGCTATATCACCAAGAGCTTGGAAACTCCTCCACATCTTTTGGGTTTGAGTCACAGTTCCGATACTAATTCCGGTGAGACTTCCTCTGAAAGTTCTGGTGGCTGCTTAAACAATTGGAAGAGAAACCAGTAATTAATCATCAATTCATTTTTTTTTTTTAAATAAACAAACAATTTGAATCTACGTACATACCTAAAACTTTAGCAATTCCCAGAGAAAGACCAATCGCAGAGTAAGTGAACGACATGATTGCAGCTACAATGGAGAGCCACCATATCTGATCAAAGTCAGGAATCTGAGAAAATAGAATTTCCGTGATGCCAAACATGATCATATATGGATTGCTGGATATGTGACATGGATTTTTTCCACCACTCTGGTGGAAACAATTAGATCTTTTTATTGCCCTGTAAAAAATGATTAATATAAACAAAACCCAGTTGATCAAAACTAGCAAGTCAAGATTAAAAAAGGACGAAGAGAAACATATAAGACACATGGTGTTCAACACTCACATCATGCTTATAGATGCCGCAATGGTGTAACCAATGGCAATCCCAAAAAGATTCATGTATTGAATTAATCCACATGCTTTTTCCTTAAACCCACCTGAAATAACATGAAAAAATCGAATCTTTGTATATAAATATATATGTATAGAAATCAAAAGGAAAGAATTTTAGAAAGTTGTGTACCAAGAATGGAGCGAACAGCCTCCATGTAAGTATAATTTCTCTTGCCAGAAACAGGATCACCGGTTCGATAACACTCGGTGAGAAGTGAAGATGTATAGTAACTAACAAAAGAAAACAATAACATGACTGCCGGACCGGCAATCCAGCCGAGCTGAGCAATTGCCCATGCTAGAGAAAGCACTCCGGATCCAATCACTGCTGTTGTTATATGAGCACTTGCAGTCCATAAAGTACCTGTTCGTACATAATTTTTACGTGTCAAACGAAGTCTGTCAATTCATCTGTGCTCGTCTAATAATTTTTTAAAGAGGTAAAGAGAGTAGAAATATACCGGTTCGTTTAATGCGGCCGTCGTCATCGAAGCATTTGGAAACATTTTGAGGGACGACGTCCATGGAGACATCAAAGACTTGGTGGTGGTGGGGGTGATTGTTTGTGGCAGCTTCCATACCCATCTTCTACTTAAAAAGTGAAAGAAGGTGCAATGTGAGCGTTAAAATAGAGTTGGAGAGAATTGGGTAAGTTTCAGTTTATGTGTGTATACGTATATGTATGTATGTAGAATCAACCAAAGATTAAAGCAGAGAGAAGCTTAAGTGATGAACCACAGACAGAAAGGTGATGGGAAGGAAGAAGGAGAAGAGAAAGATGCATGTTGTGGAGGGAAGTGTGTGTGTATATATAAGGATTTGTACAGGTCTCTTTCACCATATAGATAATGAAAAAGATCTTACAAATACAATATAATTAATTAAAAAAAATTTAACAAAAACTTGTATATTTCAGTAATTACATAAAAAATATATATATACTGAATACTGAATTTACAACTCTAATAAAATATGATAAAAATATTAACCATATATTCAAAAAATTATTAATAACTAAAAAATAATATAAAAATTATATTTTAACATCATGTTAGAAAACAAATATATAATATAATTTTAGGCTCTATATCATTTAACGGAGATTAAAGAACAATAAATTTAAAACAGACTAATTAATTTTTAAAAATTAAATAAAATAAAGAATTCTCGGTTTAAAAAAAAAAGTGAACACAGATTCGTAACGGTAAGTCTTTATTTGAAATCGGATTGAACCGGACTAAAACCTAATGAAAAAACCGAAAAATCGGATCGAACCAAGATGTTTGTTTTTTTTTTCGGGGTTCAGTCTAGTTTTGTGGCCTGAAATGGAGAATGGTAAAAGTTAATTGAGCAAAGAGAATTACCCTAAGGAGCCAATTCTGCTGCAGCTTGTTTGTGTTTTCTGAATCAAGCTTATATAAGCAGGAAAAAGAAAGAAAGACACCATATAATATATTAATTTATTTATATAAAAACCAATTACTACATGCAATATGATTAATTAATTATTTATTTATTTAAAAATAATTATTGGGAATGAAAATTTTATATTTGTTCATCGCGTGGACAGCCTCCCCTCCATTGTTCATGCAAATGAAGAATTTATTCTCCTCAATTTCTTTCTCCTCCCTACCTTTTGGGTTTTAATATATATATATATATATATATATATATATATACTTAAATCTTTTACTTAACTTTATAAGGTAAAGTTGCAGGAATCTAACACAACGTATCGTGCTTTTTCTTTTCATTAAAAATTATATATATTATAAAATCCCAACATGAATTTTTTGCAAAAAATGAGAAAGCAACATATACATACATACACATACATACATATATATATATATATATATAATATTACAGAGCCAATAACGTACACTAGTAGTGGTAAAAGAAAATTAGGCAGAGGGTAAGTGATGATACAATTAAGATGAGTTAATTACAAAATTATTTTAGTCTTTCAAATATTTTTGTAATTAAGCTAAAAACTTGATTAAGCATTAGGGAGTTGAAGAATGTATTGTTAATTAATTTTAATGATTCGTTAATCTTAAATTATAATCTTAAACTTTCGTTAGTGTTTTGAACAAGCACTTTAATTTAATAATTTGGAAGAATAGAATATTATGACTCATGTAATTGGTTAGGTATCTTTGAACAGGTTTGAATTCTTGATTTCAAGATTTAATTAATGTAATCTAGTTTAATTAATAAAATTAAGAGGAAGATCTAAATGGCGATTACATTACTTTAATTAATTTTAATAACATATATATATATATAATATTTTAAAATTTGTTTTTCTTTTATTAAATATGTCAATTTACTCATGCTATCAATTTAACATGTTAAAACTAGGGTTGCAACCCACATACCACCTATCTAATTATGCAGCCAGCTTGTTTATCTACCATCTCTATATCGATATATATACATATACATATATATATATATATATCGATCAACTGATATGAAATATTTTTGAACTATACATGTTAAGTATATTTTCTTATGCACATTTTGATTTTTGAGATTCTAGGCTGATATTTGGGTCCATACATACATACATATATACACATATAAAAAATAGTCAGTTAAAGGGCGCGAAAGTGGCAAGTAATTGCCACCTTTCAATCACAATATATAAGGCTAACAACCTCCACGTGAATCATTGAAGCTTATAACTCTATACACACATATATTCATATATATATATATATATATATATTAGATGTAGGTAGCTTCGACGAGGGTGGATATATATCACACACCCAGCTTTTCAACATAAATATTCGACGAATAAAATCCACCAAAAATGATCTCTACCGTCCATTTAGATCATGATATGATAAGATATACGCGTGATCGACACTTTTCTAATAACATATATGCTTGAGTTTTTAATTATGTTTGAATAATTATTAAGTGTTATAGAAACATAAATAAAATTCTTTGTAATATATATATATATATATATATATATATATATATACAATATTTTCCATGCCTATAACTCACAAATACTCGTTTTATAACAAGTACATACATAAAAAAAAAAAATACTAGTTTATTAATTATATTAATATTTAATCAATGGTTATATTTGAATCAAATTATTACAATTTTTTTGGTCACATATCGTTGAGTTAGATTGTCATGCACATTATTTTATGTAGCAATTACGATTTTTTTTTTTTTTAAGAGTGAAGTGGAAATTATAAGTCTTTGTTTGTTCCATCAATTATTTTGACCTAAACATATATATGTGTGTATATATATATAGTGGGTTATAATTGTTTGCGATTGTCAATTCTGAATTATATGACCGAAAGTAATAATATGATTATAAAAAAAAAAAAAAAGTGGGTTATGATGTTTGATGTGTTTTTTTTTTTCAACTCTTTTCATGTCACTTTCTTTTTTAAAATAAAAAAAATTGTGTTAAATTTTTGCTCAATTCATAAGAAAATCAAGTTATCATCTAATAATTTTTTATCCGATTGTATCATAATTTATTTAAGATTAAATTTAATTTGATCAGTATAATTTAAAGTTAAATTTTTTATTATATTAAATAAAATATTATAAATTAGTAATTATTATATATAATACATTTATAAAATTACGAGTTATACATTTTTAATAAAAATTAAAATTAATAACTTTTAAATTTGAAAGTAGAAAAATTTTAAGTGATAGATTAGCACGGTTATTCAAATCCACTTTGTCTTCAACTTCCAATGAATCTTTTATAAACGTAAAATCTAATAGTGTGTGTGTGTGTGTATATATATATATATAGCTTTTTGGATGGGTAACGAGCTATCTAGCTAGAACCCATCTGAAATTTTCTAGACATATTGTACACTATATACATATAGATACGTATACGTATACGTATACATATATATACACATATATGTAATGAACTCTTTTCATCATTGTTGTGTAGCATTATAAGTTGTATTATTTTTGTTGAAGTGACAACAATTCCCATTTTAGTACTGTTTTTTGAGATGAACCAAATGACCAACGAGAAGAAGAAAATTCTGAAAAAAATAATACAAAAAGAAACACAACATATACACATATACATATATATATATATATATGAATAATGGAATTTATTAGTTTCAAATAATACAATACTTTATTTGTAAATGAATTTTAAAGACACGTAAAAAAAATCCGTTAAAAACTGGTATGGATAAAAAAATTATTAGGGTGACTTCTCTTCCTTAACATGAAAATCTAAGTTGCAGGTGATGCATGTAGATCAAAACAAGAAAACTAACAGAAGCAATCCTCAACAAGAAAATTATTACAGAGTACAAACAGGGAATTTAAAGTTTGTCTAGATTTGGAAAAAAGATATATATATATATATATATATGTATGTACGTACAAAAAATGATACCAGTTTTGGTAACTTTCATTTTCTTATCTTTTTTCATGTACGCGTATTCTTTTGCCATTCACTTCAAAAAAAGGACCAAGTTAGGCTTTTGTAAACTCATGCAGTCTTTCATCTAATGATTATCTAAAAGTCTCTCCATTCCAAATCGGTTCTTTCTCTTGTTGGAAGACTGATTGTGTGTTTCAAGTTTTTTAGGTATTTATGCTTTTACAGGTGGAAATGGTGATTTTAAGTGAGGAAGGAGAAGGAGAAGGAGAAGGAAGCAACACTTTCTTGAAAAGGGTGAGATTGTTCACAAATGTGTAGAATTTGAATTAGGGTTTATTTTTATTTTGGTGGTAGATTAAAACTATAAAGAAAAGTATTCTTGCAGCACAAGTGACTAAAAATAGTAATTTGCTTCGTACCTTTTTCAATTATCCTAAATACATGGCTTGAACAACACTAGACATTACTGGCATGAATAACAACTTCAAGATTCTATACCATACTTAGCAAGGCTACATGATTGAGGGCCTTAAGAGCTTCAAGCTGAACCTAAGATATCATTATACGATTTGAACTGAACTAAAATGATCGTGTCAGACTCACGAAATCAATTAAAACTAAATTAAAACAGTAAAGATATCGTTTAATCCTCAGTCCTAACAATTAAAGACCAAAAAGACAGAATCCTTGTCGATCTCAATCCAATAAAGACAAGTCGAATGAATTTTTAATTTTTTATTTAATTTCTAGGTAATTTAAACTAAAGAAACTTTAGTTCATTTTTTCTAAATCTGATTTGTAGTTATTACAAATCAATTAATTTCTTTGTTACTAAATATTTTGAATATTTAAAAAATTATATAAAAGAAAGCAAAACAAAATGATCCATTTCCAAACTGGTCTAGAATAGTCTGGTTCTGGGTCTAAATCTTTTCCCATATTTGGTTTTAATCCAGTTCGATTCTAAAGCGTTGAACACCCCATCTAAAAATTATATACAAGTTGAAAAGCCCTAAGATCACATCTATCTTGAGCACTAGCCAACTATATGAAGCATTTTTTTTTTGTAAAAACTCAGATACCTGTCACTGTAAATTATAATGTAGATCAGATTTCAAAATGCTTTTAGATTTCACACAAGGACCAACCATGATGAAGGAACAATTATATACAGCCAAGAGAGAGGTCAAAGGTCAAGGTTTCAATTTTCTATAGGGAGAATTGCAACAGAATAAAAAGTTTTAAGACAGCTAAAAAGTCAGTGCAGGCAATCTAAATGTGGTGTTCTAATATAGTTTGTACAAGTACAATTTGATCATCGATTTCTCCAGTGTAAAATTAAGAATACTACCATTCAGGAAATTAGAAACAAGATCCTGCAAGTGACAGCAGATAATTGAAAAATCTAAGTGGTACTCACAAAATTTTTATTGTCCAATCATCTCCTATTCGGACGCCAGGCTTACGGATGGTTACTACAGCTGGGCTACGGCTGCCAAGCCAGAGAGGCCCTAGTTCAATTTCAATCTTTCGATTTCCAGGCTCAACATGAGCACTTTTGGCTCTAGAACCACCTCCGAGCAAAATGATCCTCTCGACAATGCACTCGGAAGAAAACTGGGATTTTCCAGTTGTCGCCAAGTTTGAAGATTTAAGGACGCCATTTGAGAAAACAAATTGCCGATGGATGTAAGCTCCTTCTTTGAAGTCAAAGCTTTTTCCATCATCAATGTAAAGTTCACCTTCAGCTGCCTGGGAACTGTTCAGAGCTATCACCTGACCAGACATATGTTAGAATTAATAGCTGTTCATGCCTCCAAAAAATGACAAATATTATCAATAAGTTTCTGTGTAGAAACAGAATAAGCATCAACTCCTGAGATCGTAAGTCATGTGATAAGTTGAGAGAAATTATCACATGCATTTTCAATTAGCTGCATGAAATTTCAAAAGTATTAAGTAAAACTATAAATTACAATTTTTTTTACTGATTTTTGTTTTTCGTCAAGCACATTTTTGTCATTTACCCAATTCTATCCTCTTCTCTCCGTGTTATTTACCCAGCTACATGCACAAATAAAAAAACTCAAGTTTTTTGAAACATTTCAAGTATCAAAGAGGTTAACTGAGTCAATTAAGAAGATGAACTATTTGATACAAAGACTACAATGTACGGCAATAAACCTTTTCCTTTAAACCAGTAATCTATGGTTCTAACCAAATGCTCAGCCTGGTTGGTGACTACCCTCTATTTGTAAATGAGGTTCCAGTTCAATTTGCAGTTACTACAAAGCTACAAGAGCAATCCACAAGTTACTTTTAGAAAATTTTACACCAGGAACGATGTGCATGTATGTGTATAATACATGCATAAACACAAATTGTGATATGGGAAACTGTGTTTAACAGTTTTCAATTTTTCCAAGTGCTCGGATGCAACTCAATCAGTGATAAGAGAAGGAATTTTCCTTTTAACTTCAGTATCCTAAAAGAGTCTTAGTTCTATGGGTTTAAATACGAAAAGAACTGCATACCAAAAAGAAACAGTTAGGACTAAACTAAATTACTTCAACTTTTATGATTCTATGCTAAAGAAAAAATATATTCTACAATTTAGATATATGTTAGTAACATACTCGTAGATCGAACTAGAGATAATATTCAGTAACAAATGATACCACATAATAAACTTTGTTAATGTAAGTATCTATAATGTCTAATATTCAGTAACAAATGATACCACATAATAAACTTTGTTAATGTAAGTATCTATAATGTCTAATATTCAGTAACAAATGATACCACATAATAAACTTTGTTAATGTAAGTATCTATAATGTCTAATATTCAGTAACAAATGATACCACATAATAAACTTTGTTAATGTAAGTATCTATAATGTGTCACATAGATTCATTGCCTAAATTGTCTTTGATAAGAATTTTAAGTCCATAATAATATGTCATAATATTTTAAAAGAAAAAGAATTTTAAGTCCATAAAATCAAGAAAATTAGAGTATCTATTAAGGGCAATAATATGTCACAAAAATTAGACTTTTTTTTTTTTTTGAATGAAAAGCACAAAAATTAGACTCTTAAATGGCCCAGACCCGACCACTCTGGGCTCCTCCCTTCCAATCCAAACTAAACCTCTACTCACTACTTCCATTGTGAGCAAAAATCCAGCAAACAAGGACAGGCTGCATGTATCCTCTAGTGCAGTTTCCTAACTGCTCAAGAACCATAAGGCCGCCCAGAGGAAACAATAACTGTGTAAAGGTACTAGGGTTTTCCACAAGGTTCAGATACATGAATGCAGGAACTTGAGACATGTCCAAGAAAGTTTGAGAGTTGTCATGTACCCAGAAAGACAAAACCAGCATCAACTACATACCAGAGTATAAGGATCATTCACCATCTGTGTGGAGCTTCGGCGAAGCCGATCTTTCCTGGGTATGATTGTTCCCGCTCTCTGAAACGCAGGTATACTTTCTTCTGAAACATCCAGCTTATGTGTCACCCCTCCCCTATATGCAGTTCCAGTTCTCATGTCATACCATAACTCTTTTCCAGGCAAGTAGACTGATACATGTTTAGCTCTCTGGTTAAGAGAAATCAATAAGGCACTTTAGTTTATCTCATTGGAAAATCAGGTTCTGTTGGTTTAAATGTGAATCTTTCATCTGATTCCTGATTATCTGGTTAAATTACTCTTGCTTAAGTGAATTATGAACTTAACAAACATTATACAAAATAAGGAGAGAAGTGAAGGTATGACGTGCAAGGTAGATTTTAGAACATTGATAATGGAAATCTTCTAAAATATAACCTTTTCCATGCATCTAGAAAATGATTTACAGCATAAAAAACTGTTTATCAAACTCTCAAAATGATAGCTTTTCAATGTAAAGAATTCATGACAAAAACCATTCTGCTTTTGTACTGAATTATTTTCTGTAGATTATTTTGCAGCAAAATAAATGGAGCCTTTGGGTACATTAAAAATCTAGAGAGTAGAAAGATCCAATCACTGTATTACCTCATTGTAAATTCCTTGCACCAAAATACTGTTTCCAACCATAAATGCTTCATCATTTTTAAAAGTAGCTTCATCGGATGGGAACTCCATCCATAGTGGACGAGCAACAGGAACACCAGTTGTGTTTGCCTCTCTGAACAAAGTATAGAAATACGGCAGTAACATGTAACGGATATGTATGGCCTCCCGTATAAGTTTTGTATTCTGTTCTCTGCAACAGAAAATTTCATTAATGAAATAATGTTGAAGGATAGATCAACTGAGTACAAAACCAATGCTCTTGAAATACATATCAGCAATAATTAGAAAATGCCTGTTCTTCTCCCAAAATTTTGGATTAAAAGAATTACATAGGAAGATTTTATAGCACATTCAGTAGAAAAAGCCAAGCAAGTAACTTAAGGGTCTAAACACTAGGAGCTGAATTATGCTCATCAATTTATGAAATCCATTACTTGAACAGTAACATCACTTAGAAAATGGAAATAACAAATAGTGCAGCTTTTTCTCAGACCATGCTGCCAAAACTGTAATAAAATTTAAAACCTAAAAAAATCTACTGTTTAGCAAAGGCAGGGAAGTATGCCACTTAAAATTGCCTGGGCTTCAAAATTTGTCTTTCCAACTCTCTGTCTCTCTTGTAGGAATCATACATTTACTTTTTTTTTTAGATAATAGGAATCATACATTTACAACTCAATATAACCCAACATCCTGTTTATGCTTGTATAGTCCTACATCTACTAAAACAATTGATCATGCACACACCTCGAGTACTTGCATTAAGAAAATGTATAGAACACCATTCTACACAGAAGTTAAGAAACAACATAAAATCTTAGAACACCAGAAAAAATTAATTTGAAGCGAACAAAAGCTTTTGACTCAGTTTCCTGCAGTTCAGACTCTATCTCTACCAAGGACCTAATAAGTAAGACTTGCAAATATAATTTGGTCAAATATTCTGAGGTTGCTTCCAGACCCATCTGCTAAACAAAACCTTGCATGCACAAACTGCAACGAATTGTCTGCATTTCTAAACTTTTCAATTTCTAAAATTTTCAACAGAAATATCACAAATTTAAGATGTAGATAAAATGTAAGGATGGGGAGGGTACATGTTCTGGCCTTCCTAACATATATCAGTACAGAAAAGTTTGAGCCACACAAAAGGGCATAGCTTAGAGAAAAATTTATAAATAATCCTTTTAGTCACTATTTTTTTTGTCCATATTTGAAGAGTATCATTTCATGCATCTGGATATTCATTTTCTATCACTTGATGTTTTTCCAAGTTACTCTTTCCATGAACTTGCATTAAAAAATAAGTGGACAAATTTAAGAAACGAATAGAGCAGGTTTTGATTTTACAAAATGGAGATTACATAAATCCTAAAAAAGAAAGTGGGTAAATGATATTGTGGGGGATGAGGGAGACGGAGAGGTAGAGAGAGTATATTTCCATAAATACAAAAATGAGTCAGCAGCACTGTCAGTTGTAGTAAGAATATCATACAGCCTATAGTACTACCTGCTGCCAGCATAGCACAGTAGTACAGATGCTAGCAAATGTACCATATGGTTCATAATACCTGCCTGCTAGACATTAACCTAGCTAAGGAAATAAGATTCTTGTCTCTTACATTGCATTTTGTTAAACCCTACTCCAACACAAATTTCTAGACTTCAATTTAATAAGTAAAATTAGTTATAATTTATATATATAACTGATAAAACTCTATTAATATCTTCAAATGATTATGCGGACTTGCTTAAGATTTTATCATCACAGTAGATTACTCTTTCATCTAACAAATTCGTTTGGAAATTGGAGAAGTCCAAAGAATTCTCTGTCAGATCTTACTACAAAATTCTTAATGGAGGATTCTACTGAGGATGGTCGGAATTTTCCCTATAAGCAAATCTGAAAAAACCCAGGTTCCTCCGAGGATTGCTTTTTTCGCAATGGGAAGTCTGTCGGGGAGAAGATTCTCACTATTGATAAACTTAGAGTTAGAGGACAAATCTTGTGAATGGGTGTTACATGTGTCTTAAGGTTGAGAAGTCTGCAATTGTCTACTGCTTCGGTGTCTGTTGCACACGACCTATGGTGCATGATCTATAGTTTACTAGGGATCAATTGAGTTATGTATAAAAAGAAACACTATAAAAATTATTCCATTGACTGTATTTTAGGTTATTTGGGAAGAAGAGAATTTTAAAGCTTCTGAGGACAAAGTTACTGGACTTTTTACTAGTAGAGATATATGGATGCATTATTTTGGAACCATTTTGTTAGGTCATGACATTATTAGTGATGAAAATTTTGATAATATCATTGATAAACTAACTACTACGTAAATCTTTTGTACATAAGCAGTGCCACTGTTTGGTACCTTGTTAATATGATAGAATATACTTTTTATTATTTTTTAAAAAATATCTTCAAGTCTACATTTATGGAATTGTATTCTTATCTATTAATGAAAGAATTACAGAAACACCTAACTTGAATTAGCTATAGAGCTATTTCTTTCAAATTTGTATTTCGTTTAAATTCAATCTGAACCAAACCCAACCTTAGAGTCATCAAAGGAAAGAATACTACAACGTACATACTACTAGCCGGTGCCGTTACAGCACTGTAGTACCGAAGATTATTAGGTCCCTTAAAAAGCATACAAACTATTTATATTTAACACAGTGACAATACTTGTTCACTAAAACTTACCCAAATAACCAAGGTTCTCGTCGTTTAGAGTCATGATGGGCATGAGCCCTAAAGAAAGGATAATAAGCACCTAGCTGATACCATCGAACTAGTAACTCAGTATCAGGATTGCCGAAAAACCCACCAACATCAGCACCTGCAAAAGATAACCTAGTACAATCACATTTAAGAAAAGGGAAAACTTAATCAAAAACAAAAAAAAAAATGTACATCAAAAACAAAAATAGAAAAAAAAAATGTACATACCAGAGAATGCAATTCCAGAAAGACTAAGTGACAAAACCATTGGAACAGAAACCCTAAGGTGATCCCACTCTGCTGTATTATCTCCTGTCCATATTGCTCCAAACCTTTGAGTTCCAGCAAAAGCTGCTCTTGACAAAACAAAAGGCCTATCTTTTCCATCTCCACGTTTTAGAAGCCCATCAGATGTTGCCATGTGGAAGTAATATCCATAGGCATTATGCAACTCTCTGTGTTCTACACCTCCAATATGTAAAGCATCTCTTGGCATTGTCACCTACACATGAAAAATTCAGTTATGGATACCTTATTTCTCCAGCTTAGTGTTACCAGCTTGGATGAGAAAAAAGAAACCAGAAAAAAGGAACTGGATATTCCTCTCCATGAGGGCTTTACTTTTTCAATAGAAAACCATTTGAAGCAAGCAGACCAGTTTTTTTATCATAGACGATATTACAACATCATGAAGGGATTTTCTGCTTGCATTTGAGTAATAGTTTGCAATTATCAACAATAGGATTTAAATAGGAGTACCAAAAGAAAGCAGGACACAATGCAAAAATAATGGAATATCATACCTCTGGTCCATTGAAGACAGAAGGTTCATTCATGTCATTCCAAATGTACAAAGATGGAGTAGAACCAACATAATTCTCATATGAAAATTTCTCACTCCACCAAGATCTAATCTCTGGATTCAATGTATCAGGATAGGATGACGACCCAGGCCAGCACCAACCATCAAAATCTTTTCCAGATGCATCCTTAACATAATAACCTTTCTGGGTAGCCTCTTTGTGCAATGGGAATGAATCATCCCGCTTAATATGAGGATCCACTATGGTCACCATGTGTCTGCCCTTAGAAGAAAGCTTCTTCTGCATCTCTTCAGGATGAGGGAATAACAGCTTATCCCAGGTAAAGTACTTCTTCCCATCAGTATGCTCGATGTCAAGCCACAAAACATCATATGGAATATCATGCTCGTCAAACTTAGAGTCCACATTCTCAACATCCTCCTCATCCCTATAATTCCACCTACATTGGTGATATGCCGTTGCAAACAACTGCGGCATAGCTTGAGTACCTGTGACGCTAGTGTACTGCTTCACAACGTCCTTTGGACCAGGACCCACGAAAAAGAAGGTATCCACAATTCCTGCCTCACTCATCCAAAGGGTGTCAATCCTACTTTGGCTTGAAGGCAACGAAATACTACCCTCTGCATCCCAGCCATTACCCATGACGTCAATCTGCATTTCCGCAGAATTCAACCAAAAGAAACCAGAAGTTCTTCCAGATTTCCCGTGTGATACCATGAATGGAATTGAACCATAAAGCCCAAAGGGCGACTCATGAAGGTACTCGAAAACATCCAAATTAAACAGCCTATAAGGTTCAGATTCCTCAATCCCAGGACCACGAGTGGGTTGCAGAGCAAAACTAGTGGCACGTTCAGGTATGCCATAAACAAAATCAGACTCATAAAATGACACATCGAAGCTAATCGATTGAGAACCATACGGCCTCATATCAGTATGGCTCCTAAATCTCTCTTCCCAATCTTCTCCGTCCTTTTTCTGTCTCAGTTGCTCAAAATCAAACAACCCATGCGAATTTAAAGATACTAAACGGCGACGATTACCTGATTTCTCACGCACGAAGACCTCAAAGGGATCATGCCGGATCACTGCCTCGAATCCGTCTGATAAGTAGACGATTGAAGACGGCATCGTATCGCCCTCGATCGTCTCCGTCGAAACCCTGTTCAACCAAAGCTTCTTCTCTTCAAATTCAGGAACGACAACATCAGGGACTTGAAATCGCTTCTTGGGCGGGTTAAGGGAATGGTCCTCGTCGATTTGGAGTCGCAGGACTCCACCTTGGTAAACCGTCAGAGTGAAAAGCAAAGGCTTGATTTGATCATCTTCATCGTGCGAAGGTGTTGCTGGAAGGAGCTTAGCAGTGAGGGCACCATCCGAAATGGTGACATCCTGAGCAGTTAGATTGCAGGATCCAGGCTTACGGGATCGTGCGCGTTTGCAGAAGGGTGTCTGGTTGCAGTTACGAAATTCATCTTTTTTCCAGGAAAATGCTAACTGGGAACCGAGAAAGAGTAGCAAGATAAGCAGATGAGAAAAGCGGAGGGCGCCCATTTGCGTGGATTTCATGGGAAAGAGATCATATTAAGCAGGAATTGAGTGCATGAAACCCTTTGAGCAAAATAGAAGTGGAATGTAGTAGTCTGGTGCTCACTTCAATCACTGTACATGTTCGAGTCGATGGAATTCAGACAAGAAAACGGGTCGGATTTTGCCCAACTGTAAGTGGGCCTGGATATAAGGCCCAAGCCCACAATTCCAATTCATGCCCGATTCATAAATGGTCAACCCGTGACCCGTTGCTATATATATATATATATACTGTTTTAAATCATTAAATGGGGCCAACCCTTGCAATTTTTTCATATGCAAGCTAAAGGCTGAATGGATCAAATTTTAAGTCGATACTAACTGAATTAGACTATTTTTTAAAAAAAATTTGTCGTCATATTTAATTAAAAAAATACTAATAAAAACAAACAATAAATTTATAATTATATTTATTAAATTTATAATAAAGAGAATTATTCAATTGGTTAATTGCAACATGTAAGAATAGTCTCTTTATTATAAATTATATTCATCAATTATATTAACTTTGGGTAATCAGTAATTATAAAACAAATTTCTAACGAGATCAACAAAATGTTTGTCATGTCAAATTATTTATAAATCATATCAATTTTTAAGAAAATCTAAAGCATCATATTAATTCATAGGAGATTTTATGTGAATTTATTTTTATCATTTTTTAATAAAAAATTTTACAATTTCTTTATTAAAATATAAATAAATTCCAAAAAATATATATTTATTCCAAACATTGCCTTAATATACTTAAAAGATTTTAAAATTTTCCAGTAATTCAATATGTAATTATCACAAATTTGTTAATTGAATTCGAGGTCAAAAATATAGACAGCAGTGGAAAATTGGTGGGAGTCCCGACCAACCCTCTTGATCTAAATTTTTACCTTACATACTGCTCAACCCATGTACAGATATACACGCTCCCCCATATTTGAGCATTTAAGATAAACTATTCCAAATTATATATAGATATATGTATATATATATACACACACAAATTATAAGGGCAAAAGTTACTAACACTACATATTAGTATCAGTTGTATAAAAAATACTTCCAAGTCTATCTAATTGAGCCACCACAGCACATAGAATTATTTCTTAAATAATTTCTTTTAACTGTAAATAAATTAAAAATATAAATATAATTTAGAGACAGATCCTAAATTTTATCGTAGCAGGTCGATTTTGCGTAACTCAACCTAAATTTTATCTCAGAACACTGTCTTGGCACCCAAAGCTGTAAAAATCTGATAAATTTCAGAGTGAGCTTGTTTGATTCATGAGAGTGACTTACTTTCTAGACTTGTAACCTCGTCTGCTTAATTTGAGGGTTGATCACAGCCAACCCATGTGAAGAAGAGAAAGGGTTACCCAAGTTAATTTGTCATGCAAAAGCAAAATTTAGTTAACAAAGATGAGGCACATTCTATATTAACTAGTTCACAGCGAAAATCAAAATTTATTATGTACACGAGGCTAAAATCAATTACTGATTTTTTTGTTTTTCTCCATCAATCCGAATGTAGGAGGACTTGTCATCTTTCTCCTAACAATGACTCAAGAAGAGCAGCCTCTTCTTCCTGCAAAATTAAATAAGCAAGCAAGCAAACTTGTTCAGAGTAATTCAAAACACACTAAAAAATGCAAAGGGTGTTTACGTACCACCAAGGCATTGAATTCAGTCTCCTCATCTATGGCACTTATGATAGCAGGGTCGTCTAGGAGATCCTGTTACCAAACATAAAACCAACTTACCATAATAGCATCAGTCAATCACATTTTTCTCTTAAATATAATCATAGTCTCATGTGATGTCTAAAAGGAACTTCATGAAGGTTAAGTGCCAAATCACAGTTACTTACATTGCCTGCTTATCCAAGCTAATGCTCTTATAGTGCCTACTGAATACATGCGGATGAGCTCCAATGGAGAGATGAAAGTGTTCATGTAGGAATTATTTTTCTGAACTTAGTCTCCTTGTCATGACAGATTATTATATCTTAACATGCCTTAAATAATCTCAAACATAAAATTTCCATGGGAAGGGAAATTTAACTTAGTAACTTTCTAGGAACGTGCTACTTCCTTCAAGGCTCAGGGAACAATTACAAACTAAGATGTAAATCAAGGTGCTTTTTTGTGTGTCAGTGTGCCCACTTCGTAATGAGCAAGATGCAAATGCACATCATCAGACTCAGCCACCTGATTGGTGGGAAGCATATGACTATAGGAGCTAAGCTCCAGAAAAATTCGAGGTGCATGTTATCAAAATTATAAGAAATTCGATGCAGCATGTATAAATACAAATATAGATATGGTAATCATTCTAGTAAGGAAAGAGTTGTGATTGCTTACATCATCAGCAATTTGCAGTAGCCCATTTTGATCCTGCATAAATGAAAGCAAACAATAATTGCTTGTCCACTTATTGAATAATAATTGAAATTACTTTGATTACATATTTAAGAAATTTTGTTAAATACCATCCACAACATAAAGGGTAGCCTGTGCTTAAAATTGCAACAGTTAATTCCCTGAAAAACACACTAGGCCTAATAAATTACCTTGACAGCAACGAAGAGAAGCGGATCAGAAGGTGTATAAATCATGTAATGCGCACCATCCTGTACAAAAACTCAGATTAAAAAAGGAGGTAAATATCTAACAGCAAAATCTTTTACACCAAGCCACACTCACAGCAACCAGAAACATGAACCATACCACATTTAAGATAAGATGGTATACGATGAATTGATAAGATACTTTTTAAATGTGTAATTATCTTGAATATATCAAATATTTCCTTATTTTGCATAAGGAATAAAAGAAACATGTTGTTCTTTATTTTTTATCCCTGGTTAGCGCATCAATCATAGTTAACCCTCCAGCGTGCATCAATCATATCAATGTGTCATTGCATCGATATTGTACACCCCACCCTTTTCTTTTTTTATTATTATTATATTTATTTTAATTTTTGTAATTATTATATGAATATAATGATTTATTATGTAATAATATATGATTTTAAAAGGATGAATAAACTCTTTTATTTAATATGTTATTAAATTGTTAAATAGACCATATATCCTACTACTCTTGTACTTCGTATCATTAGGTTTCCAAAATCTGATCTTTTACAATCTATAAGAATCACCTGATAATCCTTTTTACACCTGTTTACTTATACAATCGATATCTCACTATCATCAATATCCAAATCATCATTTAGAAAACCCTTAGGCTTGTTATCTAAGAACTTGTTCAAAATACTTTAGAAGTATAAGAGATAATCAGCTTTTTCTTCTTGAGGCAACCAAGAGTGTTTATTTTCTGAAAAAAAGATTTACCAAGAGAATCTTATCCAGAATTTTAAACAACTTCAAAAAATATTTAACTCATAGAGATGGTGAAGGTAGGAGACCTTTGACATTTATCCTGGAAGAAGGATCACTGAAATGGGAATATGTGGATTTGGACTGGGCTCTCATCATATGGTTTTGCAAATGTACTAGAAGAATGAAATAATTACACCAGAAATTTCCATACAAAAAGCAATAACACAGAAATGAATGATATTCTCTAGAGCACATGTGGTTCCATTTTCATTCAATTGCTACCGATTCAAGTTCTAATTCTCATTTAGTTTTTAATATGTATAATTAGAATATTATTCGTTGTACTTAAGTTACCACCATCTCCATTTGAATTTATTGATAGTGGAAACCTCAACACCATCTTGAGAGGTAGTAAGAAAAGAATTTCCAGAGCTAAAGAATCAAGGTAGGGGTGTAGTAACTCAAATCCTATATTATTTTCTATATTATGCATATTAAGACTACTATGAGTAATAGAATTAAGAACTAACTAGGAATATAATGGGAGTTGAATTTCAAGAAACAAGACCTAATGTTATGGGACATAAGTTAGCCAGCTAGAAACTAATGATTTCAAACAGTTGAAACTGTTTGGTCCTGGAATGAAGGAACAGCAAGGAAGGAAGAATTCTACTTGCAGCTGAGAAACTTGAAAACCAATCACCTTTGCGAAGATGTATTAAAAAAATTGACAACAAGCTCTATGGCCCCCCTAGAGGTAAACAGAAGGCAAAGCCAAAAATATCATCTACTTTAGGGGCACCTTAGTAATTATCTTAAGAATAAGGAGCAAAAGCACCATGACTGTATGCAAAGGAATTCGCTGTATAAATTTATATCACCTATCTCAGCATAAGTTCATGTGAACCTGGTAATAATTAAGAAAAAATCATCTGAGAAGTATAAGAATCAAATTACCAGATGGAAGCATGTAATTTCAACGCCTTCAGTTGGCAAGCCATCTACATCTTCTCCATCATCTGCAAGATTTGAACACCAAGTATTGACACGTCTCTCATACACTGGAAGGCTGTAAAGTGAAGGCTGATAAAAAAAATTCCCCATGAACTTGTATGGGATCTAAATGGGATTGGAAAGGGTGGCCAGGGAGAGGAAAATAGAAAAGGAAAAAGATAAAAAAGAAGACAATTAATAAGTGAACTCCAAGAGGTTTACATAGAAGTTGAAGCATCATAGGGAGAAAAATTGATGGTAACTAGAAACACAAGACAAGATACTTCAAATGTATTCCTCTGGTTACAAGACCAGGAAACACATTTACTCGCTCAAATAAAGAACATCTACATATGATTTCAACCATGATCACATAAACTTTATGTGTATACTCTTCGGGACAGTTCTGTGAAGTCTCTACATGTTTTGTCATTTGTCCTGTTATAATTCCTAAAGTAAGCTTATATCTGCTGTTGGTTACAGTAACCAGGAATGCTGCCTCAGAGAGAGTAAAATGTATTATAAGACAATAATCTCTGTTACTTTTTTTTTGGTAGGCTGTATCAGGTAAGGATGGTTCAAGCGCAAAGGAAATAAATACATGTCTATAAATTCTCCTACAAAAAAATGATTCAAAAACAAGGAAATAAATACCCTCAAGTAACCAAAGAGATTTTGGACATACCAAGTAAAAGGAGTTTAAGTTTGACTTCCGGCTTTATTTTTTCTCTAGGGTACCCTGCTTTCTTAAGGATGCCTAACTGGGTGAGTTGTTGGATTGATTTACCTGCTAGCTTGGATTTTTAGTGTGGTCATTAAGGTTCTTCAATTATTAGCATAGATAAATTATGGTTCTTCGGGTATAGGAGCTTCATGCCATTTGACTTCTAATAATATAATTCTTATTTATATTTCAAAAAAATAATATAATTCTTATTTACTTTAAAAAAATATATATATGAAAATAGAGAACCACAAATGCTCAGATAATAAGAAAGCATAATATAGTTAGAGGAGGCCATTGCCTGAGCGGAAATCAAAAATGTCATCTTCTGTGTAGCAAAATCCACCCCTTGCAGTGTAACAGAATCTGATAGGATGAAGCAGATTGGAAAATAAACACATTGAATTATCAACAAGAACCAAGATAAAATTATATGTAAACATCATACCCACTATGGACTAGATGCATGTGTATTTTTGCCAGTGCATAAGCAGCTGCTGGAAGAATAGCTTCAACTTCTTTGTCACTGACCTAGAAAGCAGAAGAATGATGCAAAAGGTAAGATAAATTTGCTCCAGAAAGGGAGAGAACTGGGGATGGGTCCATTTTCTTCTCAAACAACATACAGGTGGCAATTATAAACACAGAATAATTGAAGAATATATTTATGCAACCTAACTGAGAAAAGAGGTTCTTTGCAGAAGTAGATATGATAAAAAGTAAGAGAAGATTGTAGACCTACTATTGTCTTCACCAGCAGAAACTTCTTGATACGGCAAAAGGTCAAACACATTACCCTGCCTTCCTATATCTTGATCTTATCATATTATGAGTTTATCTTGAATCTTCAAAAGCCCCTTGATTCTTGATAATTTAATTTTCAATAAAAACTCAAATCTTCATAAAGTTATCCATTAGAATGCGTGTCCACCCTAAAATCAGGAAAATGCAATACACTTATTTTTTCAAGTATTGTTTTTTGTTCAGTTTGAAAAACAAGATATGCGGTTGCAGCACAAAGTATCACAATAAAACACAGTAACACTTTGAATGGAATCATTTTTACCCATTCAAGACCAGAATGCATTTGCACGTGCAGTTTTGTAACTGTATAAACTGTATATACCTATTATGATTTTCTACAAATTTCTCAACCACGTTGAGAAGTGCCAGACTCAGGAATTGCAATATTTGCCATAGTAAACCAAGTTTCTAATTACAATCATTTGAAAAATCAAAGATTTAGAAGAATCTAGAATGATTTTGTCAAATTAATTGCATTACTCCACATCTAGTGAAGTGAAAATGATTCAGCCCTTTAGAACAGAGCGCACAGAGAAAGATTTTTATATTTTGTACTGCTGATGAGGATTATAACTGAAAATTTAAATAATGGGAATTTAAAGGAAACTGCATATTACCTATTTATAATTCTCTACGAATTTTGCAAATGTGATTGGGAAGTGCCAGACTCATGAATCACAATCTTTGCCATTTTTAAGCTAAGTTTCCAGTTTAGGACAATCATTTCAGAAATCAAAGAATCAGAAGGATCTAGAAAGCTTTTCTCAATTAATTGCATTACTTCACATTTAACGAAGTGAAAATGCTTCAAAACTTCAGAAATGAACGTATAAGGAAAGATAATTGTATTTTCTGCTGTTAATGAGGGATTATAACTGAAAATTCCAATGGTGTGAATTTAAGGGATAAATCATACTAGATACCCAATCGGTTAGCTAGGACAAACATACCATGGAAGTTATAACCAACGATAATGTTCCACCAAAACAAAACATGACAGAATAAACTCCCAGAAAGTTAAAAGCCCAAGATTCTGATTCTGTTGATGAAAAGGACAGATGATATGGAGAAGGAAGATTAAAGGGGCAGCCAAATCTGAGACTCGACCACCATGGTCTCATCAATAACAATGAGGCCACCAGATAAAGTTCTCACAAATTTAAGCATCAACACACACAGACATTTTAATAAATTTTCCAGTGTCAAACTCTTAAATTTTAATTTTCAATCCATGTCTAACAAAAGCCAAAACTGACTAGAAAATAAATGGTGTCAAAGGAAACATACAGCTGACCAGCCTTCAATATTCGTGCTCTTTAATATCTGAACAGGACTGCACATTTGATTAAACTAATTAGCTGCAGGTCCACAACAAATTAACATGCTTCCACATGTTACATAGCGACAGCGAAGCAACATTACTCACGTATCAACAGGACAAAGTAGCATGCAGTCATCCCCTCTTGAACTTGTAAAAACTCTTCTTATAATGCACTCCAGCGGGCTGTTATTGGTAGAATCAACCTGTCACAAGTATTTTCAACATATTTTTCACTAAATTTATGAGCAGAAAGTACAAGAATAAGGTTATTGTTGGTCTTGTTTAAGGACACCAGGAAATGATTCAACGGAAGTATCATCTGTTTTGATCTTTGAAGATCAAGAATTCTTCTCTCTGCTTTTGCATCCTCACAACTTAAGTAAATTAGTTGGAATATGAAAAGAAACTAAAAATTGAACGAAAAAACAGCGAACACAAAGGAGATTGGCCGGAGCAAGAAGCTGAACATTCTAGACAGGTCCAGAACCAGTCGTTTAGACTCGAGCTCGGCAGAGAAATTCCTCAAATTGACAATCAATGGCTGACATAATAAATCAGTTTCACAAGCGTACGTCAAAGTTTCAAACCATAAGCTGAATAGTAACCACTGATTCTGACACAACCTGAATGATTTGGGTGAAACTAATGAGAGAGAGGGAGAGGGAGAGGGAGAGGGAGAGCAAGAAACACAGTCTTACAATGGTGGCAATTCGCTTGTTAGACGCCATGAGCACCCTGCCAGCATCATCTACCACGAATCCAGCAGGGGGTTTGGGGAGAGGAGGATGATGGTAAGATGACAGAGACCGGGAGTTGGAATTCGACAACGAAGAAGAAGACAACTCGTCATCTTCTCCATAGTCATCAACAACCTCAACATCATTAAATTCAAAATTCTCCACAGAGTCTCCATCAGTTTTTCCCTTCCTCTTCTTTTTCTTCTTCGTATTTGCTGCCGCCGAGGACGAGCGTTGCCGTGAGGTTGGGCCCGTCTGCGACTTAGGACCAGCAGATGCAGCAACGAGGCGAAGATGCTGAACTTGATAGCAAGGATTATCGCTTGGAACAGTGAGTGAAAGCGAGACCGGAAATGAAGAAAAAGAGTAGAGTTTTTGAGTTCTCAAAAGAGAGACATTAGACGCCGTTGTTCTGAAGGAGATGGAGCAGGCCATTGATTCTTGGAGAAGGTAGAGGTTCGGGTGGTTCTGGGGTTTACTCCATGCGAGTTTATTTGAAGAAGCTGCGAACGGATAAATGTGCAGTGTAGCTATTTTAATCAGAACCGCGGCTTTAGATATTTTAACAATGGATTATCTTTTAATTAATGTTTTACACATAATTAACCATAATTTCCCGGTAATCACAATTTAATTAGGTTTTAAATTTCTTTAAAATATTATTTTCAAACATTTATAAAAATAATGTTAATTAAATAATAAAAGCTATATTACCATTTCTTGGAATTTTACTGTCAATGGTAATGCAATTTAAGATGGTAAAAAATTAAAATGGAACAGATTATATTTTAATTAAAATTAATATTAATTATACATTGAACAAAAAATGAATAAAATTGATTAATTCAAGTACGCTTCCGTTTATTTTTTTTTATTGATCGGTATAAAATTATATGTTTTAAATTTATGAAATCAAGTTTAATTTAAAAAAATTTGCTAACAATTGGTATCTGAATTTGTGTGTATATATATATATATATACACACACACACACATTAACACATAATTTCTCATTTGGAGGTAATATCACTCACTTTATATTAATCAACTTTTTCATTTGGAATTGAATTATTTGACTCAATGCCAGTCCATTCTTTGTAGCACCTTAAAATAGCTGAAGATGAATAAGAGCAGTATTTCCTGCTATGTAAATAAAATAGGTTTACTGGGGACTAAATCGAAATTAAAAAAAAAAGGAAGCTTTTCTCTCCTCTTCCACTCGGTTGCGAAGCAGCAAAATCTATGTTCCGTGTTCACACGAACCTGCTTTTCTGCTGGAACCCGGAAATTCGCAACTTCAACTGCAAGATGCTTCAACTGCAAGTTTTTTAGTTATGCCAGGACACAAATCCTTACCAAAATTTTCTTCTGATAGTTCTATGGCACATTCGGTTTTACCCAAACAGACCTGCAATAACATTAGAAGGATATTAGGGGAGAGAAAATAACAATTCAAGAGGAAAGAAACTTCATATGTATAATACCCCGGACTAAAGAACAATTTTTTGAACTTAAAATCTTGTAACTGCGAATGTGTTGTTCGAACGCTTATAAAATTTAATAATTACATATTTTTTCAATGTTTTAGATTGCAATATCACAACATAAACTAAAAGAAGAGATGCTGGTGTGCTACTGTTCTAAACTACCTGTTAGCTAATTTCTTTGTATCATCTTAAATGCCAGCCAACTACAAGTCCGCTCACAGTATATTCTGCAACTAAGCATACGAAAATAGATGTTTTGCTTACTCAAGCTTGTCATACACTTTTAACTAGGAAGTCCTGAATAGGAAGAAAAGAAACAAAAGCCTCGACTCTCTTTTTTTGAAGAAAAAGAATAACTATTTTTGTAGATGTCGATAATATTGGAATAGGGAAAAACAAGTAATAAGACGGTTACTACCTTCTCAACCACAGAACTGGAATTAGGATCGTGACAATCTCCTTTGCTGTAGGATCCACATGTTCCAGTAGGAGTTCCAAAGCTAGCAAATTTCACATTGGATATATGGGTATTCTTGGGACACTTCAAGAGGACAGTTGCCACATTGTTATCTCCTTTTCCATTTTCACTAGGGAACTCATGTTCAACCAATGGATAATCCTCTGCAATGGAAGAACATACACCAGAGAATATCCGTTTAGAAAATTGAATTTTTGTTGGATCCCCACCCTTCTCCTCAAAGATCACAAGAACATTTCCTGACGGCTTGAACCAAGATCGTGGGACATGATACCTGGTTAGATATAACTTGTCAGAAACAGAAAACACTTACTTTTTACGAAATTCACTTATTTGTCAGAAAGAGAAAAACAAAATCAGGTGAAAAAAGCCTGATGCGAAGAATTCACTGGTTGCCAAAAAAACGAAAGTGTAGAGAAAGCAAAGATAAAAGCTTAAAAACAGGCAGCATATATTCGTTTTATATTTCTAGTCCCTTGTACTATTACAGGGTGCATGTACAAACTCAAGGAGATTTCCTTTAACATAGATATACTGAAGTTGTATGTCTCTTTAGGCACTATGGCAAACTCATGTACTGACAGATCATCATTAATAGTTAAACTAATTTGCAAACCTAAGGTGCAACAATGAAATAAAAGTAAAAACTTCCAACTTATGCCAAGTCCCAGGGGTTTCTGGAAACCTGAAAAACTCAATTAGCAGTTAAGAATTTATAAGACAGACAAATCTCGTTAATTCTCTCTTGTCATTTATGTAATCACTGGAATCATTTTAGTGAAAGTTAAGAAGAGGAAAAGGCATGCATTTTTTTATTGCAGTTTAGCTGCGGTCTTCAAAAAAAATGGGGAAAGAAAGTAACTTCTGCATCTAGATATGATACTATATCAGTTTACCATCTTTGTGTTGGCTTTCCACATCCAGTTAAGCATTTGTCTGGGAAGAATTTGCCTCTATAATCACATTCTTGAACGCACTTATCATGTACAGAACTTTTCCTAGGCCAGTATCTTCCAATTTCTTCTCCGTTCAACCAAGCTAGGCCTTTTCCCATGTGAAGCATATCCAACCCGACTGGTTCATCTCCAGCTGGTGAGTCCACAACAGCCTACAGCCATTCCCAGTAGCAAATGTCTTCTGAAGTCATGAACTAGTAAATGTACCTAAACTTCTTCTAGAAAGTTTGATCTTTTCATAGTGTTTACCTTGTACCACGTCAAAGGCTGGTTTTTTGGGGGTTCTGAGGTAGATGTCCAATTTACAGCAGCCGAACCATCTGGCTTGTATATACCAAGCTTCTCTCCTTGCAATCCAATCTAAGAATAGCAAGACCAAAAACTTAAGGTAAGACTTTAAGAATTAAGAGATAAAGAGTTTCATCCTTCAGCTATGTTACCAGGATTTAGAGTGCTTTGAAGGTTTAACAAAAATATCACTTGCGATTAGAGGATGACAAGATTTAAGAGACATTATGGCCTTGCCACTTATATCATCATCATCTGCACCTCAAGATCCCAAGATAAATATTCCTTTCAGATGGAATTCTTGAGCTGCACAATTTGTGCACCACTTTTTTGTACCAATAATCAAAAACAGATTTGTGGATGGAGAAAAAAAGTAATAGAAACAGACGATCTCATTGGCCACTAAGTGATATGCAATCCTTTTGATAAATTCAAAATAAAACAGCCACTAAAAAGTTGACAACACAATGGTAATAAATAGTTGGTTGTCCCATAGTCAAATAAACCAGGCATGGAATTGAAATTACGTGAAATGCCCTAAGGGTTTCATTAAGTATTTATGAAGATTCAGGACTGTCATGCTGTTCACCAGTTATGAAGTACGTGCACAATGTAATCCCACACTCAATAAGGTTGTAATTTGAAACTCGTAAGAATCCAAAACTTCAGAGTCTATATACACAGAAGCTTATTTCAGAATAACCAAGTAGTTGAAATCCCGTCCCATCCAAAATGGAAAGGAAAAAGGAAAACAAACATCAGAGTCTTGTATGTCTGCTAATTTTTTGAGTTACCCAAAAAATAATGATACGGATCACTATTAACTATCCTAATTCTAACTTTTTGTCTTCATCATCTTGGACATTATCTTTTCCCACCTATTAATCAGCTAAACTTATTTTCTCTGAGGATTAGTAGTGAACAGCCATTAGAGTCTTGCGTGTTCAGAACTATACCAGTAGAGGCTTACATGAAAGACAAGATCCTTCACAGTGCATGAAAATAATATTCGTCGAAATTAAGCACACAAGGTGTGAACTGTTTATCATAAAACTACAAAGACCATGTGAACAAAGATCACTGCTCATGCTATATTCAACTTCAGGCCACTCAGGATTTGGTGGTGCTGTGAGGACTGGAATTCCCTGGCTCTTATATTTTCCCTTGTCAGTCCCAGCTTACAAGTTTTCACTATAACATTCAGAAACTTCAAATCTATCCCATGCCCAACTTCTGGGTTACTCATGGGAGGATAAATAAAATGTCCGAGGAGCTTGTAAAAATTTTGCATTGCACATAAATTTCTCCTCATTTAAGTCCAACTTATTATTAATTCTCTAAAAACTTCATAAGTAAATAATTTAACTAGATGAGCAATTTCATGACCCACTCAAATAGGAAAATTTGGCTTCATGGTAAGTGTCGATCAATCACAATATAAATATTAAGTGTTATATTATATTTGTTTCCAGTTGCACTGCATAACTTAGTTGAATTTTTTGCAGAGTATGGCATGAAAAGGAGTGCAGAAAAAGGAAGAAAAGGACCTTGTAGGACCAACTACTCGAAGACAAATCCAATGTCCCATTATTGAACCCCATTATCTTGACATTAGTTAGTCCTGCTCCCCACCATTCATAAAATGGTCCTGCATTCTGAAGTAAGAAGAAAAAAAGTATTATGGTGTTTGAAAATGTAACATAAAGGGAAGGAAATACAAAAAGAAAAGTTGTGCATCATTCATCAGTTTTATGAGCTAAGCAAGACCATATTAGATAAAAACTTATTGAAACAGATATTTATATTTATATATATTAACTAATTGTAATAATATAGTATTATAGACACATGATCTACAGGCATTTTTAAACACTTGCTCATAAGTTCAGCTCTCCTGCTCATTAGTTCCCATTTCTATCAGCATAATTCTAAATATTACAGGGCATAAACGTAAGATGGAGAATTAAATTAAAGCAAAGAATGTAACAAAGCTGTAACACAATACCATATGGTTAGATGATCAAGGAGATTTATTAAATTGTCATCCTTATTTATGTCGTTGTTGTCATTATTATTGTTATTATTATATTAACCTTTTTGTGGTTCATGCTGATGAAATTGTATCTGAAATTTGAAACCCTGGAGTATATATTTACTTAGTCACTGGAAAAGCCTGAAATGTCTTTTATTATACATAGGAACAACTTCAAGGATTAGCCTCTTCCAGTGCCTTCTCCAGTTGAACTTCAAATCACCCACCAAATGAATTTTCAGACAGGTAAAGTTTAACTACACAAGATAGATTTCTTCAAAAAGGAATAGCAAGGAGAGTAAGAAATACAAATTAAGTCTGTATCTCCAATGAGCAATAAATTGAATTAAATATGTTAGAAATTCAAATACAAGGACACTGAAACACAATTACAATAAAAGAAACAAGATCCGCTCAGCGTATCTTTAGCTCATTTACTATCAGAAATCAAATGCAATTACAATAAAAGAACCCAAGATCAACTCAGTATATCTTCCATCAAGAATGAAAGAGTCAAGGCATGAAACTAGAAATGTAGAGCCTCAGCAAGTATTTTTATTATCTTGGATAAATCGTGAGAAGGAATGAATCAATTTATCATAAATCACAAACAAAAGTGACTCACCTGTAGACCAACAGTCATGCTTAACAATGCAATATCATTCTTTCCAGCCTTGAGAGAAATAGGACCTTTAAAATTGTAGGCAAAATGGGATCCATTTCCAGATGCACTACCTGCATATCGCAAAATGAAACTCAATGATCCTTCAGAATAGGACCTCATGAGATATAACTATAAAAATGTTCCACAGTACTGAAAAAGATGCAATGCAAACATTAGGAGATGCATGTCAATAAATTATGCTAGGCACTGCGAAACAAATAAAGCAATATCCAGTGACTATAGACACTCCATGATGGTAACCGGACAGAAGAATTTACAATGAGCTACCATTTGCAACTTATCTGACTGACTGACACAATATAAAAGTTTTAAAAGGTGCAGGTGCATTACCCTGATACTTAAGAAAATTCTACATCTGAATAAAATAAAATAAAAAATTAAAGCCATTAATTTAAGATGGCCCATGAGATGCTGCTTTCATAATCAGCAGTCCAATTAAATTCAGAGTTTAAATGGGTTAAAATTACACTATGAACATGACTGTCAATTGTCCTGGATGTGCAGAGTCTCAACACTCCAGTTATTCTAGATGTTACCAGTTTTATAAAACCCAAACATGACAGCAGCTGTTCTTGCTACGAGTACATGGGTAGTTAGTAGATATTTTACAATCATTGGCAGAAAATTAGGCATTCAAGTGACCCTATTCATAACAGGAGTAAAATAATCTTTTCTAGAAACAGAAAGAAGCAAGCCATGGCGAGGGAGATACCTTCATGGAAGAAAAAAAAATTTATGGAAACCTACAAAAACTCAAGAGATCACGAAATATGACAATAGCATCCTATGGATGTCATCATAGCAATGTCCCCACTTCCAATTGTAAAATAATTATGTGACCAGCTAGTTTTAAGTTTAAGCTGATAAAAAAGAGTTCTTTATTATATCTCTGATGTGTCTCGTCATGCACAAGCTGAGAGGTTGACGAAGTGGACAAAGCTCGGCTGCATGTTTATTGTGCTAAAATTTAATTTTAATAGAAAGAACACAGTTATTATTTGAACTCCTTAATTCTAATAGTAGTACTATATAATAATTAAGTTCGATAATCAATTATCTTAAAGACTTAAACTGGCAGGGCAAGTCTTATTCTATTATTTACTCTCTAATACAAACAACAAAATACCTCCAGATCAATAAAGTGAAAGGCTAAGCTTTAGTCACTCATCAACTTTTCTTTTCAAAAAAAAAAATGCAAGCTCCTTAAAATATTACGGAAGTCTGGAACCTCTCCTTTTTCCATTAAATGAAACTCAAGGACCTCTTGAAAGACAAATCCATAATTAATTTTTTCAAATCAGTAAGATATATGTAAATTAAATTATGTTCAATACCATCTTCCATAATTTATCGGGCCCTAGTCGAAGGGAAACATAACAGCAAAAAGAGCCATAACTGAAGGTTCCAGAGTTATAAATGGATGAGGAATTTTGAGAAAAAAGATACCTTGAAGTTCCTGATTCACAAAGACATGGAGAGCGTGACCCTTTGACTCAATCAGAAGAACTGGGCTGCTTCCTTTCTTCAAGAACTCTTCATCTTCACTGACATGTAAACTGCAATTGAAGGATTGAATTACTTACAAAAGCTGTCTCACGCTACACCATGTATATCCTTTTTAATAATGAAAACTGAAAAAAAAGCAAATGCGAACAACAGTTGGCTCCATCTTTGTTGCGAGATTATAGAACCCATCAGATTATTTTTAAGGAATAGCAAGATACAACAAACTGAACATAAAAAACACAACAAATAAGTGTTATGACTAACGTGCTTTGCCAGTGATTTAGGATATGGAACTTGTGTATGGCACTAAAACAGACAATCAACAAAGAATTCAACCTGGTTTACATAGAAGCTAAAGAGTCATTACTGTCTATAAATGTCCCTGAAGACACTAACAACATGCCCTTACTTTTTTGCAATATTATTGTTTTCCTGCAATGAGATGAACCTTAATTATCATCAAAAATATTTTTCAATATTGTAAATTTGTAACTTTCTGCATGCCATCATAAAAATATTTGACCTTCACCAACAGCTAGCATAGGATTCAAAATTGAAGAACAATTCATACGCAGTAACGTCGATGCTAAGACGGATCAAGTCCAGTAGAGAGATAAACCTATTCAATAGCAAAATAAAATCTTTAAACTGGAGTTCTCATTTCTTAAATTTTACTATGTTGACAAGTCACTAGGAGTAAGAGCACTCGTCCAGATGCATGTTAGAACAAAAATTATTGACCCAAATACAAAGAAATAACAGATGGTTCTACTTTCCTAATATGAGGTGCATTTGCGAGTCTACATGCACGTCTCTGGGGTGCCTTTTCTTCGTTTATCATGTTATGAACTTTCTAATCACGCTAATGAATATCGTAAACCACAAAATTTTTACGGACTAAATAAAAGAAACCACAATTGTTTATATTAAGTTTCTACAAAGAGAAACCAACCTTGTTGTATACCAGAGGTAGTCAGTAGTATCCTTGGTTGTATTTATATGATCCACAAGACCTTTTTTGACAAAGTCTGCTACTTCCCAAATCCCAGCATTTTCCTTAAACACTTGCCATTGAAGACGTTCCAATCCTTGATCCAGTGAGGCCATTGATGGCTGCAAATTCTCGGGTACCATTTCAACTTTAGAGGTGTGGGAACCGACCTGTTGCAGTTTAATGTGTAAGGGCAGAACAAAATTTGTAGAAGAATTAAAAAACAGAATTTAAGAGGCATGAAGAGGACCCATCTCAAGTTGTAGGGATTTGTGCAAAAGTTAGAGAAAAATAGAACATAAAAGAACTAAGCAACTCGGTCTAAACCTCTTTCCACAAGAACATTCACTAAAGAACATTCACTATCTTACAAACAAGAATGAATAGAATGAGAAAAAGTTACAAAAACTCTCTCACACTCCATGAACCCTAGTGATTAAATGACTTGGTCTAAACCTCTTTCCACAAGAACATTCACTATCTTACAAACAACAATGACCATAATGAGAAAAAGCTTTAAAAACTCTCTCACACTCCGTGAAACCTAGTACATCTCTCAATTCCTAGGTTAAAAAAAATATAGTTTCATATCCATTCTCTCCCACCAACCTGTCAACTACACAGAATTGCGATCTGTTGATTCTAACTAGTAAACCCTATTGCTATCCTAACTTACGTCAATTTAGGATTAACATGTCTAGCACTGCAGATAACATCAAGAGCATTGAACAAAAAATGTATAGGCTATCACCAATCTCCAAAAAGTTTGGTCCAAGCTTGTTGTTTGTTTTTTGCTCCAACTCTCCTTCCCCCTCCTTTTGGATTCGATTCATTCTTGGGGCTGTTATTACTGATAGGAGGCCTGAATTATTTCTGGTTTTAGTCGTAGATATTAAAATAAGATAGCATTCATTTGGTGATCTGTACCACAGTAGTATCGGACAACACATTATATTGTATATTGTATATTGCGACAACTCCAGTTTGATGATCTAAGGTATGACTTTGCACAACTCCATTATATTGTATATTGCAACAAAATTTGTCCCAAATAAAACCATGAAGCTAAAGTTGTCCCCTGTCACAACATAACAATTTGTGTTTACTCAAAATTTCCCAAGTAGTCCTGGAGCTCAAGCACAATAAGTACCAAACCCGAACACAATCTAGCCCCACCTAGACCTGGATATATCCTTGGACTTGACCTACCCCAACTGGAACATGATCCTGAAACTAAGAATCAATAATGCCTCAGTCTAGGGCAGTCCCTTGCCCAACCACGACTTGACATGACCGGGTACAAAGCACAACCCAAAACATGGGAATGACACAGTCCAGTTGTCAATCTCGGCCCCAGCATCACCTGATAACAAAGCACAACCCTGGACTAGGGCAAGATCCGGAACCAATGTACAATCTGACCAAGCTCGATTCAATTTAGGGCATGGTCTTGGACACAGTTCAGCCCATCAGGGGGCACCCATCTTGAGCACACCTCACTTGGCCCACCCAGTACATTGTCCCAAACATGGCATGGCTTGTGGTATAATTATTAATAAATTTTTCTCAAAATAATTTATTATCTTTTCCAGTCTCTCTTATAAAGTTTAGGAATGAACCACTCAGGTGCATTTACTTCATTAAGTAAACTAGTACATATAAAGATCCACTTGTTGTAGAAATCTTAATACAGTAAAGAAAAATACAAAGGCCTGCAAGTTATTCTTGGTGCTGCCTCACAATCAAAAACAAACCATTGTTTTCTTCCAAGTTATCTTTGTGTTGTCTCATATTGTTCTTTTACCGCTTGCAAGTACCATTAGCAAATGCCACCAAGTTTTTTTCAACGTGTAGGACAAAAGCATATCTAGCAAGTTTCCTTTGTCTCTCCCTAATTTCAAGTTTCCAATGTCTCTACCTAATTGAAAATGGTGATGTGTCTCGAATTTTTCAATAGAGTCTCTACACATGGGGCATGCCACTTGTTGGTCTACCGAGGGTTCAAGGGTGAACAGAGAGCAGAGAGTGACTGGAGAGGCTTCCCTTTGCATTCTTGGTTTGCGACTTTTGAGGGTGCTATTGATCTCTTTGTTGTGGGGAAGGAGGAAGGAATCTCTCATAAATCATTATTGATGGACACTCAACTAACACAATCAATTCGACTCAAGATCTGGTGCTAATACAGGTTGCTGTTAGGAATATAATATATACAATAGATCGGCCCTGGTGGAGATCTTTCCACTAAAATATTAATTGGGAACCATCTAAGTGAAATTTATTTTGAGAAACCTAGCATTAACTTGGGGTCCTTACCCATATATCGTCAAACAGATTGGTGAATATCATACCTATGGGAGCAAAAATACATTTTTAGTATGATAACTTACAGGTAAGTAATTTACCAAGCTTGTCATATCTACTAGTACCAGTATTAACTTAACAGACACTCAACTCTTTATCATGCTCTTAAACAATTATGCCTTCATGAAAAGTTCTATTTTGCATAAAATATCACTACTGAAATACCTTGCTTTATTTGAAGCAACCTTTATTTCTGGTATTCATTGACAAAATAAGAGATACTAGAAGAATATCTACTTTATCAGATACGAAAGAAAATATATATATGCAACATTACCTTAGCAGTGTTGAATACGACGTTCTTGCAGTCAGGGAGAATGCTGACTGACCATGCAGGCAGTTGATATGACACATTCCGGAATTCAACAGTCTTGTCATTTTTATCATCTGTGTTAGCAAGAAAGGCAGCACATGCTCCGGAAGAATCAGTATAGACATCGGCCTACAGTATGTATTAATCCAGGGGTCAGAGTCCAGATAAAAGAAAGATACCAAAAGTATACTAACTAAAGAAGATCCTGGAGAACGACATAAAATTTAAAGAAGCAAAGAAATACAAAGTTCAGCCCATCTGACATATCTTTCAAAATATGCCAACAGATACTTTTGTTCAAGTAATGATAAAACAAGAGAGTCTCCACATAAAAAGCTCATGCTGGTATCCTACCGAAACTATTCCAGACAGAGTTTTCTCAGTGTTGACTTTCATAAACAACAGATTACTGCAGCCTGATTGTTATAATGATGATCTTTAAAACTGTTTTAATATGTTTTCTTGAAATGATTTTTTGCTTTTTTTCCTTATTGTTCTTGTTCATTCATAGGATAAAATTACTTAAAGAAGATGAACTACACATTTCCTGGAGATTGTAGACTTTTCAAATTACTTATCAAGAATCCAAACACGATAAACTCAATAAATTAGTTAATAACATCAACTTAGAGATCCATTGTACAGTTACTACTCTGCCAAAAGGATGCTATAATACATGTCAACTGATTTGTAACAGGTTCTGTTTACTTGCATGCTTTAATTTTTTTTGGAACGAATTAATAAACTGGTGTATATTCAAGCTCTTTGAATTCAATGGCTCAGGTAGCAGAAAGAGAATAAAGTTTACTACCAAAGCAGCTATGAAGGTTAATGTTTTAAAAGAGAAAATCACCTCTAAGGAAGGACCTAGTGACAAATTAGTCGGCTCCCCATTCAACAACGCATGCTCACATAACTTTATAGCTCTATGGAGTTCTTTAAGGTGTCCCCATTTTGGAAGCCGAGGTAAGCCTACAAGCCATTTGACGAATGATCAAATTGTTATAAATTCCATTTCCTGATTCCAGAATTTAAATACATAATCATTTTTATTTTGACAGCTTAGCATCACAGGTATGCAAATACCAAAAGAGAGAAAAAGAAAAAAAAAAAGACAACTCACCATATTCATCAATAGGTGCCTCATAGTCATAACTCGTTGTAATGAACGGTCCACCTGATGTGCGGCCGAAATTTGTTCCACCATGATACTAAACCACATGGAGATAAGAAAAAGAAAAGAAATACAGATTACACTTTAGATATAAGTTATGAAAGATGCTGAATTAACTACTAAGAATGATAGTAACCACATATAAATGCCATAATCAGAACAGAGCACAAAAAACACTAATCTGATGAAGAAATTTAACATACCATGTAATAATTTTGCACACTGCCACCCTTCTGAAAAAATCGAGCAACAGCGAAAGCAATATCTTCTGGCGGTCTATGAGGATCTCTGGCCCCAAAAGTTTTAAACCTAAGAAAGGATTGCACAATAAAACAAGAGAAATATCATGATTTATGTAATTCCATTCAAAAGATTCAAAAGCATTTAAAAGCATTTTGCATACTCTCAAAAGGAAAAAAAGATTTAAAAGCATTTTGCATACCCTCAAAAGGAAAAAGAGTCACTCATGCCCCAAAAATCAACCAAAAAAATCCCAGTTTACATCTCCAAGCCTATCATTTTTCTCAACTATACCCCACTTTTAAAGCCAAGAAATAGCGAAGCACCATTTCATACCCATCAATCAGTTTATTTATCTGAGATGTGTAGATTTTAGTTCTCTGTCCTCAAAAAAATCTCGAATATCAGGAAAAAGAAAAGAAGTATTTTTCTGAGAAAGCGGAAAAACAAAGAAAGGCGAAGAAAATTAAAAATTCTCATACCTCAAAAGAATTCTTTCTCCTAAAATTCCCCTAAAAACAGTTGTATCTTAGTCCATAAGAAATGAAAACTGTCCATTAGTTTACTTCAAACAAAATCTCTCTCTATCTTGTCATTCCTGGGCTTAATTGACCCTCAACTAATTAAGAGGAAGAAATGGCCGGTTTTCTACTCTTTACAGTGTTTCTAAAACCCATCTACACAAGAACATTTTCAAATTGCATCTTTTTTTCTACCCAATTGCTGTAGCCTGCTTTATTAAGAAGAGAGTGTTTGGCAGAAATTGAAGTATCAAATCCTAGTTCCGGTACTCAATCTTCAACAGTGATTGAAGAACAAAGGTAATACTTTGAGCTTAACTCATGTAGCTTTCCACAATTTGCAGTTGTGACTGGTGTTCTTTACAATAGCATGACTCATGCAAGTAACCAAGCTTCTCAGTAATTGAGTAGAAAAGTGTTATGTTTGGTAGCGCTGGAGCTTAAGCAGAACCACCAGCCAAAAGCCCAAACAAAAATGCAAATAGCAGCTTTTTTTATGGCAACAGCAGAATTACAATTATCTTTCGGGAAAGAAGTTCTCTTTATGTATCTTGAGAAGGAAGAATATTTCTATAGAATCTCTGGAGTGAAAAGATAATTCAAGGTCTGTAATGTCTTCCCTCTCCCATGGAAAGAAAACAAGATTATAGTATTAAACTGAAGTTAATACCATTTTACCATATTTCTATTGGAGTTAAATCATATGGAATAGTAAAACTTCAACATTTTACTTTCAGAAATAATTTCAAAGAGAAAAAATTACTGAGATTGGTGTTGGAACAGAAAATTACCATCCAGGCCAGTTCTCAGTCCAAATTTTAGGCTTGTTCGGGGAATTAGGTTGGAATTGATCACAGTAAAAAGAGTTACAAGTATTGATCTGCCCAAAAAGATTAAAAAAAGAAAAAAGAAGACCATTTCAGCCAAGAATTAACATTTCCATTCTCAAAATGCTAACAATACAATAGCAAAGGCAGCTTGTATTTCATTGATAGGGGAAAGAATGTTCTCAATTATGCAGGGATCAGAAATGGACTACAATAAGTAAAAGATGGAACTCCTTATTAGAAATTTTAATACAAAGAATTGCAGAAAAAATGATTTTGAAACTGGATTATAATGTAGAAACATCCTATACATCATGTATAAGCACAGGACATAAATAGAAATGCAGGATATGCGCCTGCTTGATAGAATTTACCAAATGAGTCCTCTTTCCCATTTGGCCATGTTAAAGGAGACTTCTAAAAAATATTTAAAGGAGACACTGAACAGAACTCTCACTCCACATACACCAAAGTTGCACATGCACAGACAGATACACATGGAATCCTCACTTAATGAAAAACGTTACTTTAATTTTTAAGTATTTAAAAACACATTGTTTAATTTTTAAATATATAAAATCACATTGTTTTAACTTTAAAATCATATAATCACAATCAGACACGTTTATATATGTGTACATACAGTGTTGCATACACACAAAAATGGTGCATGCATCCACACATGCACATTAGAGTGTCAATGTCCATATATACATACGCATATATTTATAGCAATTAAGGGGGACGGGAAGTTATTGATGACTATGACAGTAAACAGAGAAGAAATTGAAATGGGAACCATTGGATAATGGGTTAAGAATGTAAACTTACAAAGGAAAAACAAATAAAACCCTCTAAGGAGAAGTTAACTCCTCAAAGGAATAACTGCTCAGCAAAAACAGATCCACACGACATATATAAACTGCATTTATTTGGAGTAAACAGCATTTTGATAAAATAGAATATATACATATCCTAAAAGGGAATCATCTTCTTTTACTTAACTTGGGTGATACATCATCCACCAGAAAAAAGAAAAGAAAAAAAAAATTGATACTTCAAAGTTAGCTCAAGACAGAGGAAGAAAGTGTTAAAGGAAGTGTGCAAACAGACGGTTCAATGCAATGCATGATAAATGGGGCATATGTACCACACATTTTCATTTATTTACCTGAGGTGATAGTTAGATCCATATGGCAGTTTATCTGTTTTTGAAAAAAGTAGCTCAAAAAGGCTTGTGGTAATAAGATTTAGAAGTAATAAAACTCTCACCACAGGATCAGGAGCATCATACTGTTGACACATTATCCAAGGTACACCTATATTTTGTGAAACAGCCATGCTAGCAGCCCACATGGCATATGGCTTTCCTCCCTCTCCATAGACTCTTTCTATGTCTCCATATTCATTTTCAACCTACAAATCAGAGAAAACATTAAATTCAATCTGATGCATTTGCTATAAATAGGAAAAATGAAGAGCAGCTACGAGTAAAAGCAGCAAACCTTGTTTGGTTAAGAATAGTGCCTAATCCAACAATACAAAAAGAGAACCATGCCTAATCCAACAATAAATGAGCAACAGAACATAAAGAAAAAGTTGATAATCCCGAAAACAGATGACCTTAGAAACTAATTCCAGAGCACTTTATACTCTTTCCATCAAAATTGACTCTGGAAGCTCTTGATACAACCAATATTCCAAACAGAACAAAATTTTACCACGGTCTAATTCACTCACTAACGAGCACAGAGATAAATCTACAAAAAAGAAGCTGCAAACTGATAACCAACTCAGAATGTTAATAGCAGGCTTTTCAAACTCCTAATGCCTGTGATGTTAGAAATTTTATACTAGGTAACTTTCTATTAAACTTTCCTGCATTCTCGACTCTAACGCCCATGACAGCTTGGTCACAGCCCTCACAATGCTAAAGCAGTTTTGAAGCATTAAAATATTTTAAAGTAAATGTTAAAATGATATACCCACAGCATTTGCTTGAATTCCTTCACAACAATGTTCAATTTGCTGCAGAAAGCAGGTGACAGACAAAAACTAAAATACACACCCACATTGGCAAACCTACCTGGGCCAAGATTATGGGACCTCCCTGTGATGCAAAAAGCTTTTCTTGCTTCATTAAATTCACTATGACTGTCATGAACTTCTGCATATGGTACTGAATATCAAGTGAACAACCAAATTAGTTATTAGGTAAACTTCTCATTTCCTTGAAGAAAATATTGCAGTTATTAATGGAAACTAAATGTTCTAAACATGCTTATAAAAATTTTGTTACGACTGAGACCCATACCTTGAATGGCTCACTATTGGTCCTGAAGGTAGTGCCTGGCACATAATGTAGCCAAACCGGTACCCCTCTACACATTACATTTAATAATAAAAAATAAGAAGATATAGCAAACTAAAGTGAATTTTCAATGTCTCAGGAAATAAAATTTTATGCGAAAATCCACTACAATTATAAGCATACCCATAATTCCATTCAGCTGCAACAAATGGACCAATTCGAAGAATCATATACATTCCAGCCTGCTGAACGATCTTCACAAATTTGACTAGATCGTATCGCCCACCAAAATAATACTAAAATCTCCCAATTTAAAAGAAGAGGAAAAAGGACAAAAACTCCATTTATTATCGAAAAATGCTTACACAACAAACTAAGCATTTCACATTTATAGATATTATAACAAATAAATGAAATTTTCCTACTCACTTTGCCTGGGGAAAGCTCATGGCCATTCCAAAAAACATAAGATTCAATGACATCAATACCTCCTTCTTTTGCTGTTTTTACCAGTCCCGGCCACATCTGTCACAGATCAATTCAAATTGAGTAAAATGATATAGACTTTTTCGCCAAATTACTGATAAGAAACCCACATAAAGAAATTAACAGTAACTAATACACATTTTATCTTATGGTTTAGAGATCAACTAAATGGTCATGTAAGTAGATTGCATTCCAAACGAACTTCAAGTTGGCTATAATAGTACAACGAATCAATGGAAAAGCTAAAGAAACAATCATATGGAGTTCCAACACAAATATAAAGATATTGCTTGAGCAAGCTGACTTCCGTGCCCGATTGAGAACGGCTGTTTTCATCCTTATTTTTTATTTATTTTTTCCTCCTCTGATTTCCAGAAAACAGATAAATCCAAACGATAATAAACAAATACCAAGAAACTACAGAATCCCCAAGGTGTCTCATACTGAACCCAAAACAAATCTACTCAAATAAGCATCCAACTACACCCTTTTGAGCATTATCATTATCCATTTTGTTCTACATTTTCTCAGGAAACAAACAAGAGAAAAGAACAAGGAAGTGACTCACTCCAGGAACACTACGAGGGTAATGAATGGAAGCTGAAATGAGAAGCTTCCGTTGCCCATCAATAATAAGAGAGCGACGGTCATAAGTCACGTTTGCTGCTAAAGAACCTTTAAAGAAGAAGAAGAAGAAAAAAAAGAATACGAAGGGAATGGTAATGGGTGTTGTTGAAGAGAACTTCATTTTTCTTCCCCTGGAAAATGAGAATGTTTTACGTTGAAACTGAGCGAGGTTTCTTAACAAATAAGGAGACGAAGAGTTGGATTCATGTCGTCATTTTCATGGGATTTTGAGAGTGAGGAAGAAAATCAGGGAAGAAGCATGTGGTATTTATGGAGAAGAGAAGGTAAAGGGAGGTCTGTTGATGTCAGCTTCTTTCTTTGCTTTATCATATTCAGATTCGTGCCATTTTCATGACCCACAAAACTTTTTCCTCTGAAATCTTAAAAGATCCAACCTTTTTAATTTGCTTATTAGTTGCAGAGGTTTATTAGCAGTGTCTTAAAAAAGTAAATGATCATAGAATATAATATTCATGTATACGTGAAATTGATTTATTTATACGTTAATTATTATTATATAATAAATAATTAACGTATTTCAACTCATTTAGAAAAAAATCAGTTGACTCTAAATTTAACGATATTAATCAGTTTGGAAGTCTAATTAGTTTAATTATATAATAAAAACTGATTTTACAAAAAAACATGGGATTAATTAGAATTGCAAAAGTGATTAGTGAAGAGATAAAACTAATTAAAAAAATAAAACATTTATATTAATTAAAAGATTATCTAAGTAATTAGATATAACACTGTTTAATTATATCACCTTTTTTTTTATACTAAAAAGTATACCAAATTCTCATCTACTACATATTGCATTACAGATACGTATGTATTACATAACAATTAATTATAAAAATATTTCTGTATAAACCCATTAATTGCAACCTTTCCTTGCCTTAATCGTCAAGATATCAGATACTATATATATGTGTGTGTGCATATATATATATATATATATATGCCGCCTGCAAATGTCTGAAATCTGTACTGAACTAGTCACCATGCTAGACATATATATATATATAGATACAGATAAATGTAAATATATCAAATCTCTCAGATCTGTACTGAATTAGTAACCATGCATCCTAGATATATATATATATTATGTAGATATAGAAGTATGTAAATATATAAAATAAATTACAAGAAACCGGAGGTGTGTCCATGCATGCACCAGACCGGAAGACATGGAAAAGAAACAAAAACAAACTAGTGAAGCGTGCCGATGGCTAATACATGTCAATGGTGGGAGGATCTGGCTTCCTGCTTTGGTGGGTCTACCAAGTCTCTGCAACCTACAACATGGTGGGACTGCATATACATATATACATATATATGTTCATGTATGTGTGTGTCTGTTAATGTAATGACTCAGATAATTTTAGACATAACTACAACCATATATTTTTTGTGTGTATTAATTTTTAGATATATTTATGCCTATAATTTTTTTTTTCTTTTTGCTCAATATATATAAATATAATTTTTTTTTATATAAAACATAATATATACTAATAAAAAATCAATAGTAAAATTTTCTCAAATACCCTATAAGTCAGTATTTCAAAAATTTTATAATATTATAAGAACAATGTTTTTTTTATTTATATTTTATTATATAAATAAAAAGTTAAATACTCTATAAATTACTTAAATATAATATTGAAGAAGTTATTGTCAATTGTTGGTAAAAATTTATATTATATAAATACAATATTAGAAGAATTATTATCTACCGTCACTATTTATAATAAAATCAATTAAAGTCATGATAGATAGTGGTTCTCTGTGATAAATTTTAACGATTCGAGTTTGATTATCTCTAAAATTATATGATAGTACCGAATTTTTTTAATTCCGTAATTAAAAACGTTTGATGAAGGATGTAGGAAGCAATAATAATTTTAAAAAATATATATATATATGTAGTTTATAAAGATTATTTTATATGTAATTAAATACTTAAACAAATAAAACTCCAAACCGAATCTAGATCTTCTTTTTTATTTTTGTTTAATAGAAATCTAATTTTTAGAGTTAAAAAAATAAAAAAAGTTTTCAGTATAAAATTAATTAAAAAATGTTGTGAACAAATCTAGAGGGAATTGAAAAAGAAATCGTGTAACGCGGAAACATGGTCCCGCCGTATCAACAGCCGGATAATACAATCACCATGTATTAGTTGCTGGGTCCCGCATTCACTAAATATCTTGTCTTTGCCAAATTTAGTAAATCACGCGCGGTTAAGGGTCGTGAAGTTTCATCACTCATGGAGAAGATCCGAGATTCCCTCTACGCTTCGGAGCAGCGCGTGAGCCTGATTTCTTAAAGAAACGTCACGTTCTGATGCTCTCCCACGTGTCGGTGGGCAGACAAGAGATTTTCGGAAATCAAACAAGGAACGCAGCGGCGCTCTTTTCCTCGTCTCGGTATCTCTGTGTGTATGTATATATTATATATATATATATATATTACATGCTGCTCTAATCACTTGCTAATATGAAGAGAGCGTGTGTGTTTTTACAATTAAATTTATAAAATAAAAAAAGTTTTATTTTCCCATTAACTAAAACTAAAATTTTAATTTCTATTAAACATTATATTTAAAAATTTTAAAAATAATTTCAACGAATACAAAGCACTTCTATTTTTTTTTTTTAAAAAATAATAATATTTTCGACAATTATTTTTAATATATATTAATTAATAATGCGGGAGTCTCTGGCCCATGACTTAAAAACCCAACACGACTTCCCCATCAATGAAATCCCATGGAGAATTCTTCACCAGAAAAAAAAAAAAAAAAATTGTAAAATGAAGCTGAAGATTGTAACCATAACTAAATGCTATAATAGTGCACAAATCTGTATATATGTGTATATATAGAAACTCAAAGATCTACATTCACTATGATTCTCTAAATATCATTTTCATTGAAATCACCATCATTCTGTAAACACTATAATTAGATCTAATAGTTATCTATTTTTGACTTCTAGGTTCTTTTCTCAATTTTTACCCTGGATCCTGTTAACAAAGACATGAAAAGCTTTTTTGATAACCTAGATGGATAAGGTTAGTTAACTTTTCAGATCTTCTTACCAAATTAGGAACGAGTTAGAAGTTCGACATGTCAATTCTCAGTAAAACCATAACCATAAGGAGGAGAAAAATAAGATGGAACTTAAAATTCAAGCCACTTGGTGTAGTATTTACAGGTTTGGGGGGAGATGATACCGTCAGGCGTACAGCGACTAATCTGAGGACAGACACCGCAAGGAATGGTAGCAAAGGCTCCCAACTTTGGTTGTCCGGCACTTCCTGCTTTACTTGTGCACTTATAGCAAACTTTTCCAACTGGAATCGAAGCAAACTCTCCAGTACCAGTGCTCTTTACTTCCACAATCTCATTATCCAACACCAGTGCCTTCAGGATCTCCTCGATTTGGGGTTTCGTCAAGGGAACTTGCGAAATCCTAGTTCGGATGACATCTGCAACTCCATCCAATGTAGCAACTTTCTGCCCATTTATCAGCCGCACACAGACACCTTTCAATTCCTTTATGAAATTCGTGTCGAGGCTCCCATCCACATACCATGCCCCACCTGTAATTTCTTTTGATGGCTCAAATTCCACTGCCATCAAGTGTTTCCTCCCCTTGTTTTGGATGTTTACAACCTCTTTAATCAAATTCTTAGCTTGAAGTAACTTCAATGATTTGTTCACCATGGTGTCCGGAAGGTTTATCTCTCTTTTCAGGTCTCTTGCCCAGATACCAATATCTTGTTTGCTACGAATTGCATTGTATAGAATCCGTTCATGTTCGGTTAACGAATCGGCGGGTGATTTTTCGTCAGGCCGCTTTCGCTTACTCATAGCTATACAAATAACAAACTGTGAGAGAACAGTTCCCTTAGTAAGCAAACAGAGAAAATAGTGGTGTATAATCCACATTTTTAATTCCAATTCTCAATATTGCAATAAAATTAAGAGAGCCACCATCATGCGCGATTTTAAGATGGGGCATTCCATCAGGCAAAATATAAGCAAATTTTTAAACCTGTCTATATAAACATAGGATTGTGTGTATGTCTACTTACATATTAGTACACACTGATATCGAGTTAAACCAAAAACAAAACAAAACATACACAGAAAAACAGGATCAGATAAAAAGAAAAGAAATAAAAGATCCGTTCTGAACCGTGCAAATATTTTTTTACGCCTATACATATATAGATGGCCATTTGAACCATGCCAACACTTGTCAGAAATCACAAATGATCATATACTTGAAATCAATCAACAAGAAAAAAAATGCATCACAATTCCATAACAAAAAGAGGAATCTTCATTTACACATAAGAATAACAATCACAGTGAAATACAAAATATCATCCTCATCAGAGAAATAAAATTTCTTTAAAATTAAACAGCCAAAAATCAATAAAAAATACATAATTCCACACAGATAATCTAGCAATCATTACCCAACAGCTTCAAAAATGCAAATCTAGCTCTTACATAACGACTAGTAGAAAATTCGCTCCATTTTCCTTAATCTCCACCTAAAATTTTCAGCATGACGGCCAAACTTAGCTTAAAGAACGGAGACTGGTAGATATAGACACTAAGTTCGCACTCTACGACTTATAAGAAGAGAAAATAACATTATGCATTCTTGACTTGTCCACTTATCATTCAAATTCATTGACCAGAACAAGAAATGTAAAGTACATTTATCTAGGGCCCCGAAATCCGTCGAATTACATAAGAATCAAAGCGCGAAAGCATCTAATCGAGAAACCGTACGGTAAAATCAAACTCTGGTTTTAGATACAACAATGTTTAGTAGAAATGAACGACGAACTGCCAACTGTGTTTGTACATATATATACATATATACATACAAGTATAATGAACACGCACAAACTATATGAAGTGTGTCAAGGCAAAAATCAGTGTGCACACCTCACTCCTAGAATCTGGACTTTACAAGCCCCGCACAATGAAATTGCCTCCTGTTAAGAAATACTCCAATAAAACAAACGTGCAAAAGATCATAAATTAATTGTTCGTGAAATTAACGATAGAAGGTTCTATCTATCTGCCATTCATGTCGTTTTCTATTGAATCAAACTAAAAACAAACAAATCGGAGCCAAAGACTTGAAGGCGTTACCTAACAGACGAACCAGATTTCACGGCTGAACAAGGAAACCAAGGGAAGAAGCAAATTTTAGGGTTTCTTTGGATGGAGATGACTGTGGCCGATGCTGAGGAAAGAGAAGGGCTCATTGGAGTTTTTCGTTTTGAATGGGAAAAATAAGTAAGTGTAAAGGAAAGGTGTGACGATTATCCGGTAAGGGCGAGTGCACGCAGTGGCCCATTGAGTCCTAACTCTGATCAGTTGCAAAAATTGGTCAAAAAATTCGTCGCCTGAGAGATTCGAACTCTCGCGGGGAAACCCCATGTACTTAGCAGGCACACGCCTTAACCACTCGGCCAAAGCGACGCTCGTTGCTATGTCGTCTTGTACTAATTATAAATATAGTATTTATGTATTTGGTAATATATTATCAATTGGATCCTAGCTCAATTAAATTATAAATCTTAGAAATACAGAGAACATATAATCAACCTACTCAAATTGAGCTTTCCCTTAAAATTTGAAAATAGATTTACTTATTTGGAACCCGTTTTAAATCATTTGAATCTCTTAGAATTTTAAACATATTTTGTCATAAATTTTATATGTTTATATCATATATTCAATATCAAAAAATATATAATATATTTAAATTGTCTAAGTCTTGTTAACAACAATATTAAACATATTACTCATAAATCAGATGGGACATGTTCAATTTTAGAAAATATAAATCCGATCCAATCTAAATCCAATTTGCGACTACAAAATCACATCCAAAACAAGTGAGATTGTACGAGTAACTCAAGTTATGGATTCATTGTCATTCCTAGTTAGTTTAGACAACAAGTTTCTTCGAAAAGATGGCAAAAGTTTTTGATGAATATTGTATGCTGAAGCACTTTCCACTCATGAAATTCTTGCACTCATACGCCTGTTTATTGCATTTGCCGTCAAGAAGGACCTATAAAATAGGTAGGAACTTACATAAACTGCATAAGAATTAAGATGCTGTTGCAAATTTTACTTACAAATTCAAACTGTTAGAAATCCAACTGTAACAAATATATCTATCAGGAAGTATGTTTTGAACTCAGTCAGTCCGTAATACTGCTGAGCGCAATCCAGGTTCTCATGAACATGAAAAATGGATGACTACTCTCTACAACTCTACCTCATTTTTACACACAGCTAACACAAATTCGCAATTATCACCAGCAATGAAACCTAAGCTTGCTCGCAGAGGCAGAGGAAAAAAGTATACCGATATTTACTTTGTTACCAGGTAAATTGTTATATAACCACCGCAGTTCTGCTTGGCCTCTTCCCTTCCATGGCATCTTTCTTCTTCCGACAGTTCGTGCATAGAAAAGGCCCTTCCCATGGCTTTGATGCAGGCGAAAAAAAGGGGCCGGATTTCACTGATAACCCATCAGTTGGGGGTTGATCTACTTGGCAGACTGCACATCTGAAAAGCCCAGAGCTTGCATTCAAATGGAAATCTTTACCCAACCTGCATTTCCAATGTACAAATATTAACAACAAAGGCAAAAGCTTAGGGACAATGATACTCTCTCTAATCACTATTTTGAGTACAGTAAGATCTCATTCTAAGTATTGCAAATAATAACTCAGTCATGGTTGCATAAATATCAAACGATGAAAAAAAATTTCAAACTGGTGGTGATCCCGTATACAGAAGCAAAACTAGTCTGCATATAGACACATTTAAAGTTTACGAAAGCTACATCATTCAAAATTGAGCTGCATCATTCAAATTGA